ATGTGGCGAACTCGACATTTGGCAATTATCAATCTCCTTCAATCTCTTCAACTTCATCTCATCTGTTTACAAGAATTTTGGTTAAATGAACAATCATTTATTAAATTATATGAATCTAATCTTTCTTCGAAGTATTCATCTTATTATGTTCAACGAACGCACGATCATGATGATGGTTTAGCGATATTTGTCGATCGAAATCATTTTAAATTTATTAATCAAGAAGATTTACTTCTGAACGATATTGGTAATCGTGTTGGTCTTCTACTCCATCTTGAATATAAAGGAAAAGCTCTCTTAGTTATAAATATTCATTTAACATTTCCACACAATGCGTTTGATCGTCATCTACGATTGACTCAGATCAAAAAATTTCTTGATATGATTCACGAATATCAGATGAAAAACAATCTTTTATCAGATAAATGCTCAATTATTCTCTGTGGAGATTTCAATTCCTCATGGGACAACGATCCTGTTTATCAATTAATCGAGAAACAATTTCGATCGTCTTACTTAATTGTTAATAAAAACGAACCAAAAGTAACACATTTGACACATCGTCGAGAAGAATTAGGTGTTGATTTTATTTTCTATCAATCGAATATTTTCCAACCAATTACAAGTGAATTAATTCCACGTGGATGTGATGTTCACAAATGGAATGATACTATTGGATGGACGTTAAGTGATCATCGAGCAATTCTTACAACATTTCAACTTGAAGAAAATCAAGAGAAGATGGATTTATGAAAGAAATGTCTTTCGACAATAAAGTTCTGTTTTGATCTTTTGCACGTAAATTATGTTTTTTTGACAAGATTAAAATATTTTTCTAATAGAAATCAAGCTACAGAAAGAAAAATCACACGTCTTTGTTTCTTAAAATCTGTCATTTTGACCGAATTTGTTTGATCGATTGAATAAATTCTTCTCGATAAACTTGTGACGGTAGAACAAATACGGTAAAGATCATCATCGGTGGAATAAATGAAATGAAATAACCTGTTAGATATAACCAAGGATTTCGAGCTGATTTCATACATCCAAACAGAAACGAAATGATCAATCTTGGAAAAGCCAATAGTGCGAGAACAATCGGTGCGATTAAAAGATGCTTATGATGATGAAATTGTTCATAGAAAATTGTCTTACGAGAGTGTTTCTTTTGAATTTTCGAACGTGTTCGAGTTGCATAAAGAATAATAATCAATGCTGATACAAAATTAATGAAAAATGGAATGAAGAAATGTACAATATTGACACTCCGATCGAATATTTTCAAAATTGATGAATATTTTGTAATACACCATGTACGTTGTTCTTCTTCATCATCAATTAAATGTCGATGGACTGGATCGTGAATATACGAACAAATCGTAAAAAAGAAAACAAATAGAATCATCCATTTAGCAATTTGTTTACTTTTCAGTTTATTAAATTTGATTCCTTTCGAAATATTCACTGCTCGTTCAATCGCTACACATGCACTGAGCCAATCGTTGAAACTCACAAGAAATCGAAGGAGAAAGTCAAGTAATGAACATTGGATAAGTATCAATAATCGATTATTAATCAAATCCATTTGAAATGTAAGAAGAAACCAGAATTTAATTGTAAATATACTCATAATAATCATCGATACAATAGAAGATGCAAATAAATATAAACCACAACCAACATTTCGTGTTGTTTCTCTTTGAAAAGTGATCAGTGAAAGAATATTTCCAATAAAACCAAAACTAAACATGACGCTACTCAATACAATCGTCACTCTAATCACCATTGGTTGTTGATTTATTGTAATGTTCGGATAAATTTGATAACCTAAGATAACATCCAACGAAAGAGTTGATCCAATCGTTGAAAATTGACATTTCGATCCATAGTAACATTCTGAACATCCACAAATCGCTCTTGTTGGACAGATCTTATCATCTTGAAAGCATTGACCTCCATTTTCACATAAATTATATCCATGACAATTATATGTTATATTATGATTAAATTCGAAACAATTCGCCCGTCGATCAAGATCACACAAACAAAAATGAATTTCGTCATAAAAGCAAATGAGTTCTTGTTGTTTTTGACATGGTAAATGATAATATTTCATGCGTTTTAAAAGATGTTGATTCGCAAGAGTTTCATTGAACAATTCGTGAATTGAAGAACAACGATGAGAAGGTGAAACTTTCGTGGAGATGTTCGCTGAAATAATAATTTGTTCTCGGAGAAGAATCAAATAATAATCATTGAATATTTTCGCAAATGCGATATTAAATGGATTTGTGATCGAAAATGAGAGAGTGAATTGATAAAAAGCAATTGTTTTCATCATACTTGTTGATATCGGTGCTGCATCGTTTTGAACACGAATAAAATGAATCAGTAAAGATGATGGAATAGGAATATTATCATCAAACCAAATCTCAATTCGAGTTTGATTCAATTGATATTCACATTGATTACCTGAATATCCCAAAGGACACACACATGTTGATCGTTTCAAATCCAAAAGTTTATAACGTTCATCGATCGGGATACATTGACCATTATTAACACACGATTCGGTATGACATGAGAATTGCTTTAAATAACATCGAGGACCGAATCGATGAAGAGGACAAACACAAATAGAACCATCAACACATATAGAATTAAATGTACATATACATTTCTTTTCGATCGTACATTGAAGTCCAGACCAATCTGTTTCACATCGACAAAATGTTGAAGTTTGATTGTTAACGTAGGGAAAACATTGTCCGTGAAGACATGATGGTATACATTTGTTAACTGGTTGAGTATCTAAATGAGGAATGATGAGAATAGTGGAAAATCGATGAACTGGGAGAAGGGAGAATTGAAGTAGGAAGATCCAACTCGCTCGGTATCTCAAATTGACTTTGAGAAATGCGTCAATTCGTATGGAATAAGTTTTTGAAGGATTTTTTGGTCGAGTTGAATAAAGTAAATAGAGATTAAATTTAGTATCACAATCTCGAACAGGTAAATATTCAATAAAATCGTGTGATTCAATATTTCCTTCGTTATCGATTAAGAGAATTAGAAATGTGAATAAATGATTCCAGTCGGATGTTGCGCGTATTTGAATTGTCAGGCTAACTCGTTGATTTTGATATTGACATTGACTTCCGTAATAACTCGGTGGACAAAGACAATGTAATTCGTTTGTTTCATTTGTCATCCGGATTTGTAAAGGAATTCCNGGTAAATATTCAATAAAATCGTGTGATTCAATATTTCCTTCATTATCGATTAAGAGAATTAGAAATGTGAATAAATGATTCCAGTCGGATGTTGCGCGTATTTGAATTGTCAGGCTAACTCGTTGATTTTGATATTGACATTGACTTCCGTAATAACTCGGTGGACAAAGACAATGTAATTCGTTTGTTTCATTTGTCATCCGGATTTGTAAAGGAATTCCACGATTACAATACCAGTCTTGATTAACTTTTGTTTTGATTGTCGGTGTCCTTCGAATCGATGGTATTTCTATTGGACTTGGCAATTCGAAGAGCTCAAAATCTGTAGTTATTTCTACAAGATAAGTTGGTATATTTTTAATTGAAAGAAGATGAGTCGATTTTCCAATGACTCGAACGGATCGATGAGACTGCAGAGAAAATTTTCAACATCTGTTTGCATTGAACTTTGACTAGGATGACATATATGATATGTATATAAGTCATATGTCGTGCAGAATACTTCGTCATCATGGAACGGACAATCGGTGTAATTGTTACAAAGATCCGTTTCTACCAGACAATCTGAATAATTTGAACAACTGAAACGAAATCTCGAGGGAACTGAATCAACTGATCGACAATGACTTGGTTCATCTGACGCACCAAGACAGTCAATTGTTCCATCATCTGCTTGAGAGATTGGTAAACAGGATATTTTTGATGTATCATTAGGAAAGACACATCGATGTTGGAAAATAGGACAAGTCGAAGGTGGACAATTTACTTCATCAGCTCCATTTTTACATGACCAAAACCGATCACATCTTGTATATGTATTGTTACATAACCAACTATGACAATTTGTTTCATCGGTTTCATAATTGTCATCGATTAGAATGGGTATTAATTCTTCAATTCCATCGCAAATTTTTTGAAAATAGATCTGCTTTTGTAACAACTCTTCATTCTCGTTAAATTCATCTTCTCCTCCAGTACAATCAGAGAATGTATTATCAATTACAAATGGTGCAAAACAAACTTTACTACCATTAACTAAACAAGGAAAGCGACGATGAGCATCGACAAGCGAGCAACTCTGATTGAATGTCTCATCATCATTCAAAGGACAATCTTGAATTCCATCACGCAGACGATGTACTGAAATGCATTTGATCGAGTTTTTACATTTATACATTGTCAAATGATTGCAATGATGTGTTTCATTCAATCCAACGAAGTATGCACGAAATAAATGTCGAAGACTTTCTGGGAAAGTCATCGGTGAATTGTGCCAGTATTCATCGACTTCTTTAACATCTAAACGGCGACAATTCGTATTGTTCAAATATTCTTTAGCTGGACGAAAATTTGGTAAACGCATCTCATTGTAACAAATGTAATGCGGTAGGAGAATATTATACGGTCCAATTTGCCAGTCTTTATTCACGAACAAGAATCGTGCGTATTCAGCCAAAATAGGACCATAGGAAAATTCATACAATGCCGGACAATCTTTCGTAACACAATCATTATTTGGACAAAATTCATCGCACCATTTGTCAACAAAGTCAGTGTAAATGCGCATAAGACACGCTGTGGCAAGTGAACAACGATCCGTGGCGGAAAACCTATCGCGACCATTCTTACATCCGCGTTGTCCATATATCCCAACTGTACATTGTCCATCACCACATGGAAAATCTTCTCTTCCTGGTTGACATGTATGTTCTTCACAACGAAACAACGGGTTCACAAAGCAATCCGAGGTTCGATCGAGAAAACCTTCGTCGCTTTGATCTAAACAATCGGGATTGATTATAACATCATGAAAAAATTCTTTTGGAATACATTGTCCATTATGGCAACGATATTCGTCTACTGTACATTCATTTAATTCAAGTTGCCAACAATCAATTTCGTCCGATCCATCGATACAATGAATTTTTCTATCACAAATCTCACGCCAGTCCAAACATATCGATGATGTTTCACATTTGAGATGCACATAACATGTTGTGTTACTTGATTCTCTCGTTTCAGATTTGCTTCCAAAGTGCAATTCAACAATGTCATCAAAAGATGCTTTGTCATCTCTTTCGATGATGAAACGACAAAGAGGTCCAAATGATGGGAATGTACAATTATAGAATAACATTTCTCGATCGATTGATGAATTAGAAATGCTACTTAGAAACATTTCGTAACGCTCAGCTAAATCAATCGAAATTGACCAAGAAAGTAGTTGTTCACTCGTTATATTTTGCTCTTTTAATTGCAGAAAAGTTAAAGCGGGATCATCGTTATTAATATAATCCAAATTCAGATCTGGAATATATCCTTCAGATGATCGAAGACAATACGGAATGATTTGATGTGAAAGTACATACTCAGTTGTATCCATAAAAATATCTTCACGTATATAATGCAAAAGACAAAACTTATCTGGATGATTATCGATATTGAACAAATTCAATTGAAGTTGAATTTGTCTAATAAGAGTAAAATACCAGATAAACCTCATTTTATATGAATTGTCATGAAAAACGTTGTGTTGTATTGCTACAGAATGATCAAATGTCTAACACGTTCAACAATCTATTTAGGATAGTTTCTCTGAGTAAATATCAAATAATGACAATGAGAAAATTCTTTCTCCATCGTTTTTTTTTCTCTTCTGAATGAAAAAGAAAATGTTTAATACGGAATACATTTGATCATTTGTTGATTGAGTTTGTTATTATTTTTGATATCGTCATTTGTCGAAGGAAAACAAATAAATCGTGTTGCTTTCATCATTAATTGTTGATGTTGCATTTGAATTCTGATTCGATTATCCCAAAGTTTTTCAAATAACATTCGTTCTTGTTCATTAGGTTCATAAGTCGACAGAACTGAATTTGTCTCATCTGTTTGTTGTTGTTGTTGTTGTTGTTTGGGAGTTTTTTCTTCTTTTTTCTCAATTTGTTGATCTTTTGAAGAGTTAAGATCTTGAATAGAAATTAATGATAATCCATTTCCCATATCTTTGATCATTTGTTTGTGATCATTGTCTGAAATAAATCGAAAAAGAAATTTTGAAAACGAAAAAAAAACAAATGACCAACTCATTGAATAGATGAAAACATTGTTCAATTCGATAGAATAAACATTCGTTGGTAGAGTATTGAAATTGATGTAAATCTGCATTGGAATATCAGATTTATATAACTAAATTGAAAATTTTCAATGAAACTCTTTTGGAAAGAAATTTTCATATCGATAAGTTATTTTCTTTACCATTTTTTGTATACTCATCCCAAAATGATGATGATCATTTTCATGTTGAATTTGTCTTTTGCCAAGAGTGATTGAACATTTCCATGGTTGAAATTGATATCGATATAATAGACGATGAGATAGCGAAGGATATTGATCAGTTCGTCGAAGATATGTTTTAAACCATCGTGTTAAAATTTGAGAAAAATCAATCTGAATTTCACAAATGAAGTTTTTCTTATCACAAAACGAGAAAACGAACCACAATGTACGCTGATTTAACCTCATTGAATGTTTGTTGTAATAAATCCAAAGCAGTGAGGAGTTCATATCGAACTAATGGATGAGTTATATTCAATGAAATAATTACAGTTCCTAAACAAATTAACTTTCAAGACAAATCATTTCGAATTTTCCAATTACCATGAATTGATGGTTGTTTCGTGTAAAGTTTACAATACTTTAATTTACAAACAATAATCCATTCTTTAGCATTAGTTAATGGAGAAATTAATGCTTGAAGTGCTGCTCCGGATGTGATTAACAAATGTCTAAAAAGAACAAATGAGTTGTGTGGCTTTTCTTCAAGGAGAAATGGAGCGGTGAGTTCACCTGGAAAAAAAGTGATTGGATTTTTGTAAAATTCCGAGTTTTTTGCGATCGACATCATCAGCAAAGATGATAACATCATTTGATACAATTAATTCCTTTTGAATTGGCTGATTAACTTCATTCGAAATGGCTTTTTGGGTTAATAAAATGATTCCGGGTAGATTTTCTTTGCCTTTTTTGCCTTGTTCAACTTTATTCGAAGGTAAATTTTCTTGAAGTTTTGTTTCTTTGAACGAAAGTCTTTTCGAAAGTATTGATGGTGAACGAAGAAAATCAGATAATTCAATAAGTTTCAATGGTAAATCGTCTTCCATGATTGTTTGATTCATTCATTCAGTCAAAATGAACATACAAGGCGATGAGAAGAGAAAAAACTCATTCGTGCATGAACAGTTTATTCAAGGAGAAGAGAAAATGTTACTCTCTGATTATGTAACATCAACTGTACAAACCATCGTATTGATCAATATCGAAATACATTAATGAATATTCATCTCGAAATTTTACTTAAATCATTTTTTAACAAATTGAAAGTTGAAAAAAAAAAGTTGCAGGCAGAGAAAAATAAAACTTTTCTTTCGTGTCAATGAATTTCTTTCTGATGAGAAAACCTTGATTTTCATCGACTGTATCTCAAGAATCTTTCGTCTTTCAGCGAATTGTTCTTTGAAATGATTTTATTGGTGATCATTCGTTAAGAGCAAATCATTTGTGTATCACTTGATATGACATAGGAGAACAATGACAATCGAACAAATGTTTAACTCTTGTTCTTGAACCTTGAAAATGATTGAATAAAAGGAAAGTTTTGTTTTGTTATTATAACATTGTGAATGAAGCAGAATAATCCGAAATGTTTGTTTGCGTTGTAAAAGCTCAAAATGCCAGAGAGAAAACGTGATGATTAATGAAATCTTTGATGTTCATATTGAAAAAACAGAACAAGAAATCAAAGTTTCAAAAAGACAAAATCTTTTATGTTCAAGAAAAAATGACTTTAATAATTCTTGTGTGCATACCAAGGTCTCACAGTCGCTTGAGCTTGAGCAGAAAACGGAACTGGAGCTCGATACATTTGAGGTTGTGGTGGAGGAGGAGGAGGATAATAGATCGGTTGAACGGCTGGCGGAGGTGGATGATAATAAATAGGTTGAGCTGGATTAATTGAAGTTGGAGTTACGTAAACTTGTTGAGGAGGTGGAGGAACCATATAGACTGGTTGTTGAATTGAAGATGGAAAAATTTGTCCAGGTGTAACTGGAGGTGGTGTTAATGCGCTTCGTGGTCCATTGGGAAGTGGTGATACACTATTCGCATTGATTGAATTATAATTTTGAGGATTTGGAGAAGAATTATTTCCAAGTTGTTGATGTTTCTTTAATCTTCTCAAACATTCGAAATAGATAACTAAATAAACAATTCCAACAATGATACAAAGACCAGCTAAACCCAACTGAATCGCTTGACAAAGAAGTTTCACTTGATTTTGAGTATATGTCTTAAATGGATCCCAACTATTGAATACAGAGAAAAACGAACTACGAAAACTGTAACTAAACACTGATGATGAATACGCATTATCGGAACACGATGAAGTTAATATACATGTAGAAGGTTGAACGATAAATGCGATATCAAAAGCTATTAATGCACCACAGGCAATAAACATAAGTATTGTAAGAAGAGCCGCTCGAAAGGCAGATGACGGACCGGGAGAACAAAGTCCTAAACAAGAAAATTAAGAGAAGACAAATTGTTTCCAATCGATTTACCAGCGATAAATAAGAAGATCGCATGAATAAGAACGATAATTCCACACCATCCACCAGCGAAGACATTTGTTACCCAAAAATTCGCTGCGACACTACAAAGTTCGGTTAGGATGAACATGACAAATGCAATAAACTCGATAACACCCAAAAAGGTCGTAAAACACTTGGGCCATATGACAAGAAATGTCGTCTTATCTGGATGTAACATAGTGTACCTTTGCTTGGCAATGTTAACAAGCGAATGTTGCTTTGATTGTCGAATGAAATCGAAATGTAAGCGTTTTTACAAAGACAACAATTTTCTTTTTTTCATTTTTCTTACGCCTACATTTCATCTTAACGGGCTTAAGATGTTAAAAGTAGTGAAAAAAATTCTTTCTTTGAGAAGTCATGAAGAAAAGAATCAATGAGTAAACAAAGCAGACAATGTCAGTCTTTTAACTGCTTCTTTCGTCAGAATTCACATTAAAAAAGGAAATATTTGTCTTGTTTTCAGTCACTGCCTTTCTACATTAAGTAAGTAAAAAGAAATTTAACGGATTCGATCTAGTCGTATTGATATGACTATGTAATGAGAATTGATGAAGAACACGTGTATTTTTGTTAATGAAGAAAAGTACGAATACGGTGGACGAGGAAAAAAATAATAAAAATTGTTGATATTTGGCGTTTTCAATGTTATTTATTTTTCTTTGACATGTTTCGATGAAGAATATCCATTCGATGAAATGCGCAGAGGTCAATTACAAATCGAATGTGATCAAAAAATAAAAAATACTCAAGAAAAGGATAAGACAACGCTGGTTCTACGCTGTTTTTGCCAATGCCATCATCGAAAATCGAATATCTCCACCAGCATTTTCAATTAATTTCAAAATCACATCTTTTGTACTCTAAACATTTATCAATCAATTAGGCAAATGAAGAAAAACAAAGATTCCGTACGCGTAATAAATCAAGTGCTTGTCCTTGTTGTAAATTCACGGAATGTTTTATGGGATGAGGATGTCGGCCATCTAATTCATAAAGCTCATTATTAACACTGACAAAACATACGAAATGAAGATTAACGTGTTCTTCTCGATCGATAACCTAAGAAAACGCTATGAATTCGATGGTTTCGGATAGAAAAGTTTTTACTCTTGATTCTCCTTCTTCAGCGATTGTGTCATTGGCTGTTGCCATGTCCATTGCATGTTTTAAATGTTCAGCGCGTTGTTCGGGTGTCATTAGTTTCGTGGTTTCCATGAACTGTGCTAATGGTTTATGAGCTAAAACGAAATTCGAGATGATTTGAGGATTTTTCTCAAGAAAATTTTACAATCAAGTTGGAATTTTTCGAGATTATTAGCGATGGCGTGAATCACTGCAATTGAGCCACATGCATTGCCAATTGTTTGTCTTAGGAAATAGATTGCTTGAGAACAATCGGGTGCTGAATGTGCTGCTTCTTCGAATTCTTTCATTCGATGTTGTTCGTGCTAAAAATCAATGATGCTAAGATGAAATTTTGTCAAAAAATCGAATCGCACTGCTTCGGTTATTGGAAATATTAAAAGAACAGCTGAGACTGGTTGAGGAACAAATGCAAGAAGATCTTCATCAAAGCCAATGATCTCAACAAATTCATAATCATCATTTTTAACACCCAAATTTTTCAAATATTTGTTTAAAACCTAAACAAATGAATACTCGAAAGAAAAATGGCGAAAACTTCCGGTGAACTTACCTCAGGATTTCCTTCTAAAGGCATCCAACGTGGTTTTGGTTGGCCTAATTCACCAGCCACCGCTGCCGAAAGACTTATTTCAGGAGTTGCAGTCATTTAGAATCGTAGTGATATGCAGGATTGAATCGAACAGTCAGATTGAAATCAAATATGAATACGAACAATGAGAAGAAGATTACGCGACGTCGTCGTATGTAGGAGGTTATTTCACTCTTATTCGTAGTTGATCATATCAAACCAATGAGATAAATCGTTTTTTTACATTGAAAAAATCTCACTATTTTCAAAGATTTTTCTCAGATGATTCTGTTTATTTTTCATAATGAAGAGAACTGATGAGAAACAGGTAAGTAGATGTCACTAAGTGCAAATATCTAATCATTCGAGTCGTTATATATGTTCAAGTGTTTTTTTTGTAGAATTTCTTCGGTTATATGACGACAGAGAATTCAAAAAACGAAAGGCAAGGTGTTTTCGTTCTCCTACTTGGCAGAATCTTGCTAATCGTATTAACGTTTATTTAGTAAAGATGAATAATTAGACTTAGGATTGTACTTTAGACAAAGCACGGCTATATAAAGTACTTCACGTCGAACCAGTTCATACTTTCATACGAGATCTAAATAAAGAAACACCGGGAAATTGCTGAAGGGAATTTTATGCTTAAAAGATTAAATAAACAAAGTCTTTAACTTTTCATTAAAATATTGTATATTTGTCTGCCTTGTAACTCTATATAAATGTATGTGAAAAGCCGAGTTCTTCAAAGAATTTCAAATGAACGACGCACAAGTTATAGAGATTTTAGTCTACATCAAAGTTATAATTCTTGGTTTAGTGTCCTTAGCAGCGCTCATCTATACCATACCAATATGTTTTCATCGAAAACTTCGAACTCCTCTTCACCTTCTCAGTGTGAATGTCAGTCTTACTCTATTTATCTGTGCACTGTTTTGGGGAATCTTTTTGGTAATGTCAACATGGTTTGACAATATCTTATGGACCGAGAAATCTTGTTTATGGATATTGTATTTGCAAACAGCTGTGAATTGTCTGAGTATTTATAGTACATGTGTTGCTTCATTGAATCGACTATTGGTGATTGTTTATCACACGACAGTTTTATTTCGTACTATGAGATGGATCCTAATCTGCATTGTTGTTCAATGGATCATCGCGATCTTAATCTCATTACCAACCTTTACGTCCAGTCTTGAAGTAAGTCAAGAGAAATGAAACCTGACTGAGTATTTCATATTCATTTTAGCATTGTTTTATCTCTGGTCTTGAAATTTACCAACAACTCTATGTTTTATTCATCGTTGCTTGTTTACCATCGATCTTCTTGTCGATAACTAATATCAGTATTTTCCTTCATGTTCGTCGTTCCACACGACGTACTTATCCAGCACGCAATGAAGTGAATGGAACAAATTCGATTGTCAGTCAACGGGATATTCGGTTGTTAAAACATATGATATTTATGTTCAGTATATTCTTCTGTAGTTGGGTACCGATTTACATCATTGGAGTAATCAATTGGAATGGAACTGGTATTACATATCTTGCATATCATGCTCTTCAATTCTTACCAGCGATGGGTTTTGTAACCAATATTATTGATTTGTTTTTGTATAACCATGAATTGCGAGCTTTTCTTTTCCAGAAGTTTCGTGAACATCCAGTATCGATGACATAAATGCAAAGTCAATAGTTTCCTTAGGTACATGACGAATTACACATATCGATGAAAAACAACCCGTGCACCCAATTTTCCACTTGTTTATCTTCTTTCCAATAAAAATAGATCGAATGAATTATCCGTTCTTTGTTCATTTAATATGAGTAATCGGTGTGTCTCAACTCAAAATATTAAAACATTGAAGAAACGTTGAATCCCACAGTCTCGTATGAAGTTTGAATCGAATTTTCTTTGAAAATCCTCTTCCATTTCCAAATCTAACAGAACACAGACCACTAATCTTGTTCTTCATAACTTTCTATTTGTAGATAACCAAAATATAATAACGATATTTCACAACATGTAGAGATATTAACTAATATTAGTATTTTCACTTTTCTCATTGTTTTTATTTCGCATATGTTAGCCATTTGTCAGAAACTGCGTTACTGAACCTTATTTCCATCGCTTCGATATAAAAAAAGTGAAGATATCTTGCCGATTTTTGAAAGGAATCAAATGAGGATTTTGGCAACATTTCTCTCACATAGATGTCATCTCTTTCTTAATGGTTATTCACGATACAAAGCTGATCATATTCCAGAACGTTTTGGTATTTTATCAATCACTGTTTCCATCATCCATTCTACTGCAAATTTGTTCATACCGGACTAAAAAATATGAAGAAAAGTGTCTTGCTTCACCTATGATTGGGAATAAACTTCTATTTCAAGTTAAGCTTCTAGCTTAAGGTATAAAGAAGTCTGAAGATAAAAGACTCAAATTAAATTGTCAGGAAAGATTGGTTTTGCCCACTGCTTGAGTAGTCTATCATGGTTATAATAAGCTTCAATTAATTTTCCATAAATATCTTTATCCCGTTTGCAGCGTCATCAAGATTGCCTTCAGTGAAGGCACTTTTCCCCAATGAGTTTCTATCAGTGTAAAATCTCCATGAATCGGTTGCAAGACTTTTTTTAATATAAATTATTTCATCGGAGTTTCTGTAGTTATTTGCATCTTTGATGTAAATTTGAGAATGACATATAAAAAGATGTGCCTTCAAAACTAAAGTAATTTCTATTTGACAGGAAAATTCGATTGGCTGTTTCGACACGACAAACCACATATAAGAATTGACTTACGCATATTTACTTTCACCTGTGATTGCATTCTTTCTGATGAAAATAACTCAACTACATTTTTCGTTTATATTCGTACTTTATTTAACGTTAAGCGCAAGAGTATTCCAATTGATAATTTGATAACATCAAAATTTGAGATCTAGTTTTGTTTAATAAATCTCTGCATTTGTGAAGTTTAATCTTAATAAATTTCTACGTTTAGATAACAAAGAAAACAAAATGAATGATATTCCACAACGTACAGCGGCACTAATTGCCGGATTTTCCATTGTAACAATGGCGATTGCTGCTGGATTTGCTTGTGGTTGCGTTCTTAATAACTTCACTGTACTTGATGATATAAAATTAACAATAAACAATATGAAATCTTCTCAAATGTTATTTCGTGTTGGTATCTTCAGTTTTCTTGTTATTCTTATTTGTGATTTATTAGCAGCTTGGTCACTTCATGTTTTTCTCAAACAAGTCAATGAAAACCTTTCGTTATTAACTGCTTGGTTTCGCCTCGTTTATTCAGCAATGTTAGGAATTGCACTGCTGAATCTTGTTTTCATTGTTTTGTTATTTAAAAACGAAGATTTTTTATCGATTTTTGGAAGAGATCAAGTGAGCGCGTTGGCCATACTTTTCCTACACGGATTTCACCTTGTTTGGTCAATCGGATTGGTCATTTTCGGTTGTCATCTCTTTCTTCTCGGCTATTTACTTTCCGAAGCAAATTATACACCGAAAATTCTTAGTGTTTTATTGATCATTGCTGCACTCTGTTACATTATCCATCATACTGCAAATCTCTTATTACTAAACTATGAAAAATACAAAACAACTGTTGAAATGTTTCTTAGTTTACCGATGATTGTTGGTGAATTAGGATTTGGTTTATGGCTTTTATTTCGAGGTGGAAAAAAGCGTGAAGATAAAAAGCTCGACTGATATCGTGACTTTTTCTATTTATTTTTTAAGATTAAAACTGTAAGTTCAATAAATTCGATTGTATGAAGATTATTTTGTGTTCAAAACTCATTCTATTTGCTTTCGGGATTCTCAGGAATCTGTTCATCCTGTTTTATTTTTTTAGATGAATGTTTCTTTTCATCAGTTGTTGAATTCGAACCTTCTCCGTGTTGATGAGATTTCGATGATAAGCGATCCGAAGCCCATTTCTGTCCTTCGTAAACAATCCATTCACTCAAACATTGAAGAAACTCGTGGGCATAGATCTGTTTTACCCATTCCTCCGGTAATTCCTTGTAACCATAATATGCTCCGGCTAATTGGCCGTAAATGGCAGCTGTTGTGTCTGTGTCATCACCAAGATTGACTGCAGCGAGAACACCTTTTTTAAATGAATCCTCATCAGTGTAAAAGGCCCATAAAGCAGCCTCAAGGCTACTTAATACAAAACCTTTTCCTCGAATTCCTCCTTCATAACCATTTTTAGTTTTGAATGATCCTTGAGCGATTTTCTGAACTTCTTCATGTAATGGTTTATTACCAAACCAATCTTGGTGTTTTTCATAGAACTCTTCATCCAATAATTTCTCTTTCTTTTCACCACGAAGAGCAGCAACAATGAGTGCACCATAATAACGGCATGCATCATAAACTCGCCGATCTCCGTGAGTTATTATAGCACTAATGCCCGAATACTTCACGGCTCGACGCGGAGATTGATGAAAAAACAGCGGTACAGGTGCAAGACGCATCAATCCACCATTTCCAGCTGCTCGGTCATGACTACAATAAATATCAAATTCTTCTAGTAACTTTTTATCATCGAGAAAATCCATTTCGTTTTCAGAAATCTGATGAATTTTAGCAAATTTCTTTTGTCGTGACTCGAATGCGCATATTGATTCTCTTGTACCAGATCCAATATCAAAGCATTCCCCAGTCGATGACATATATCCATATCTATACCACCATTTATATCGAACTAGTTGGTCATATGGGACAAAATCATGACGTGTTATCAAGGAAATTGCCAAACAAAGTGCCATCGAAGTATCATCAGTGAACTAGGCCAAAAAGAAAACAAATCGTTTGTTGAAAAGGGCAATGAATATGTTTTTGATCAATAGAAACCTGTCCTTTGCGTAAACCCCACGTTCCCCCAGCTTGTAGATCAGTGACTGGATTATCTACTAGATACTGTCTTGGACGAAACTCAACATGTGCCCCAAGTGCATCGCCAAGAGCTAAACCAATTAGAGAACCGAAGATTTTATCAAACTCATTCTTATCAACACGTTCCGGGGGAGGACGCTTATTGACCAATTCATCAGGTTTCTTGATCTTTTTAGGATCTCCTTTGTGATATTGAATATCTAACCAATGTTTATCTAATATATATAAAGATTATAGTCATAGAGTATTTGTCAGAATAAGTATCAACATACCGGGTTTCACCAAATGCGCCGATGATGATTTTGCATGAGCTTTAGAGTTCTCTGCTGGAGCTGCGTGAACTCGAACAGTGGCTGAAAATTTCCATGAAAGTACCTAAGCTATAAAAACTACGAGTTCCTACCACAGGTTCCCATCGATGTTATTTTTCCCTTATAAATTCCCAAACGACTACCGATTAAAAATTTTCGTTGTCTTAAAAGATCTTCCAAGAAATTCTTTCTTTTTCTCTATATAACTGCTTCACATGTAAGGTAAATATGTAATAGTACTTCACGAAAACACATAAATAATGTTGTTGGTAAAACAGAACAAGGTAGAAACAAAAAAAACATGACACGGTTGTCATGTGACACAATGAATTTCTACGAAATAAATCCGCCATCTCAAAGAATTGTTCTGCTCTGCACAGACATTTAATCTCACCTGAAACCATAGCTTTCAAATCAGCACATTCATTTCTATCTAAACGATGGTATTGATACGGACAATCGTTTCTCTCGTACTTTTGAATCGAATTCACCGTTGCTGACACATTAATCAAATATTTTCTTTTTTTTACGATTTTTGCTTCTACTGAGAAATAGTCATGCGCATTTTTTCTTCATCATTTCAAGATATTCGCCCGAAATCACCAGTATCTATCTATTAATACATTCTCTCTGTTTGTTACAGAGAAAGACAGACGCTTTCAGGTAAAACAACGCAACCAATTGGCTGTTAGAACTGAAAGAATCATCTGTGAATTTATGGAGGAGTTTTTCAGACGTGTCAAATTTACATCGATGTTTCATTTATTACAGAGGATGGTCTTTTTCGATTTCGTGCAGAAAGATATTTTTAAATTGAAGTTCTACATAATATAGTTTTGACAGAATCAGTTCAAATACGATTAATGTTCTCTTATTAGCAGTCTGTAGATTGCTTCACAAATCCACTGGGTTTGTCTTCGGCCTTTTCAACGTATCTAGTTCGTCCCCTTCTTGCTACTGCTAACTGCATTGTTTCATCAGGAAGAATTGCTTGCCGCTCTCTCCAACACAAAACCATCTGTCTCAGTTTATACCGTAGTTCGGAGGACGATAAAATACATGTGAACGGATACAGATGTGTTACGTAATCACGAAGTGTAAATGCAATTATCAAAGGTATTACCACTGTATCATAGGAAAGGCCGTATTCAAGCGCAAAGATTATTGTTATCCATGGAGTATCGCAAACTAAGTAAAAGATCGATGTAAGTAACATTTGAATTGTCAATTGGCGATGCTTTCGTCATTCAACTGGCTGACTCAATCGTTGCTTTTGTCTGATAGTACGGACGATGAGGGTTAAACTGAACAAAACTGTGACAAATACTCCGACAATATGATGAAAAATGAGCTCCCATAATCCTAAAAATTCATTATCCAATGAACGAGGGTTGGTGGTAATTCCAGCGAGAATATCATCCACTGAATTTTGACAGAATGGAACAAATGTGATGACAGAAAAGTAGATAAGAGAATACATAAGCAGGATAATAAAGGGCAGATAACGAAGCAAGAAACGTTTCGACTTCATTCGTAACAATCGATCATGAAATATGAGTATACGACGTTCGATCGTCGCCCAAATAACCAAAATGATCTGCGTAGTATACAGTGCATAATCAAGGAAAAAGCAAATAAGATAGTATATAATTGGATTCCATGCAAGATCAACAAGGAATTGGAGATAAATATTATAGACGAGATTTAAAGCGGTGCGTACGAAGACCACACAAAGGAGAACGATAATGATATGATTATGAAGAGTAAGACGAACTGTTCGATCGGAAAGAAGAATTGATATAGCATAAAGGAAGCACCGATTATGAATAGGATATTTACAGCTCGAGCAATCCAAAATTCAGGCGACGCAGACATTGTTGATCCGAAAATTATTTATTTATCAAATGAGGAACTCTTCTTTTGAGCAAGGCTGAATATTTCCGTTGTGATCGTAATTAATAGAATGACAAATTTGAAGTCTGTTCGGTCAATTATCATGTAAGGAAGATATAAAAGCGTTATATATATATTTTTTCTTTAATAATTAAAATACGAGGATTTTCTGTAGAAATACATGACCCATACAGCAAACGATTATTCTGTTCACGTTCATGATCTTTGCAGTTTAATTCATAATTTCTAAAAATATCTCGTATTCCTAGGGGGAAGATCGTTTGACACGATTCGATCTCTGATGATAAATGTACAACAATAGGTTCACAAGTAGTTCTATTTAGCTGTACTCGACCGAGATGTAGAGGGAATCCTACATATATTCATGTACTACTCCTAATATACTGTGTGATATTCTTCAAAATTGACATTCTGCTTTTCTTTTTATGTTAATCAAGGAAAAAACAGATGATAAAACATGCGCTCACTTGTCGATTCTTGAGTTCTTTGTGATGTTATCTCTCAAATTCTTTTTTTTCTCTTGAAAACAACTTGAAGAATAGAATTCTTCCAATGCTTAATAGAAATATGAAATACACAGTATCTCGAGATTACATATGTAAAGACAAAATATACCATCTGATTACATGTACAAAGAAAAAAAACCAGCTTGCACTGAATTAAAATTAAGATCAGTCAGTTGCCAATTAATTTCGATTAGTAGTACGCGAGCGCGGACGACGATGACGACTAGCGTGAGTTGCATCACGAAAACTCAACATAAACATCACGCAAATTATGAGAAAAAGCGAAACAATGATGTAAGATTGAACACATGTGTTAGAATTTAGAACTGCGATGATTCCAAATAGAAATATAGAAAGAATTCCACAAGTATAACAAATGAAACGACTAAAATCTTCGTTTAATGAGAAAAGATCATATATCATCCATAGATCTAGTACATATACTGAGATGGATGCAAAGCGAATAATCATTATCTGCGTATCGTTCAAGCAAAACCGAGAAATGTTCGGTGTTTTCGATGAATTTGAACAGTGATAATCCTTATACGGAAAACCACATCGTGCTGTAAACATACTATGGTTGCTATGTTTGGATCACGAGATTGTAAAATTAAATCATGGGAATGACCATAGTTCGACGCAAAATATATGCAAGTGACACTAATACACAATGAAATCACACCTATTCCTATAGAATATGACTCATCATAGTGAGTCGTATTGTAAGAAAATTGAACAATTTAAGTAATGTGTAAAAATCAATAGCACTTTAACAACGAGCTTCCTTAAAAGAATGCTTATAGGAAGATATCAGTGCCACAACGCACTGTTAACGGCATTGTGCAAATGGATAAGCATCTGTACCCTGAACTTCAAAGAATGCGATCAGCTGGTCATGTAGCGGTCGTTGCACCGGGAAGAAGGAAATAAGTCAATTGGTTTATATTCACAGCTGCTACTTGCATAGATGTCATCTTCTACCTAATGCGTTGACTTTAAAACAAGGCAACCAACGAATTCCACAGTTTCAAATATATCCAGAAGAAAGTAGAACAGCGATTATACTTTTCACATGCGAATACGCTTCATGTTGTTTCTTTTGAAGAGGCTCTATGTTAAAGAGGGTCCTACGTTAACGGAATTGTACTGCTGCGTGCAAGTCCAATGACCAAAGCAATTCCTTCTCGATCACTGATGTATCAATTAGGAAAACTTGCTTCGCTTTTCCTATTTACGTTTCGAGTTAATTCCATTTTTTCCTTAAACCGATGTGAACACGGTCAAACTCGTAAACGAAAGCCATTTGCCTAACTACACGTCGTATGGTAACGATTTGTGCCTATCTTCTCGTTCTCTGTGCAAATTACGAAACTCTGTCGAGTTATGCATGATAAATTTTAATTTTCCTTGCTGTTTACTATTTAAGGCATTCGTGAAATCTCCATTGCTCAGCTCTTCTTTCTTATTGGGACCAAATTACCATTCACTTTCCGCAGCAAATGTGATTTTTCAATTGCTGAAGATAGCACGCCAGTTTGATCAGTTGCATTCCTAATCTAACACATTTACTCGATGATTAAAGAGGGCAAAAATCAACGTTTTTTTAAAAAAAAACGCCCACAATCGATACCACTACCAATAAGCAATAGAAGCTAAGATTTTTTTCTTTTCACATTCAGCTTGAGTTCCGTGAAGGTTGAGATTTGTTTCATACAATTTAGATCGAGTTTCACCAAGTTTGACTTTTAGTTTCAAACAGTTCATTTTGAGTTTCAAATGTTGAGCTTTGTTTGTATCGGCTTGTTTTCTGTTTGATCGAGTTTGCCTTTGGTCTCGATCAATTCGCTTTGTGCTTCACATAATTTTATGTTTGTTTTAGATAATATGACTTCATTTTGCAGCAGATTCTTTTGAGTTTCTTCGAGGACAGCCTTTGTTCGATCGAATACGTTCTTCATCTTCACCAGTTCGCTTTGAGTGGCACGAACCAATTGTAGCAGATCTTCGGGTTTCTTTGTACGATCCTAGAATAAAGATACTTACACCAGTGACGTCAATCGCTGATTGTGGACGACACATTCGAATGAATCAACGATGTACATACAACTAAGTCGAAAAACGTGTACATTTATATGGTTATCGAAACAAGAAATTCGTGGGCCCGGCGAATCGATATGTGAAAAGTGCGTACATTTTTCTGACCAAAGACGAAGTGTCGTTAGTTCGCAGAGAAGAAAAACGATAATGCTTTTCCTCTCGCGAAGAAAATCAAACAATAAACTGGGATTAGAGTATGAAAAAGAAGTTTCAATTGAAATTGAAGTGAGTCTACAAACAATTCGGTTTTAAAGAAAAATTCGTAAGTTCTTCGCTGTATGCCGTGATGAGCATAAACATACACACTACTGTGGAATAATCATACGCATTTTTCTTCACTATTTCAAGATATTCGCTTGAAATCATCAACATTTATCTACCTAATATTTGAAAAAATGTTATCTCACTTTTTCTCTTCCTGGACGGGAGAACTCTGTAGGCAAGGTAAACAGCGACATCTATGAACGAAAAAGTGAGGTTAGCAAGTCTTTTCTGAATGGACTCATCAATTTGATAAAACGTATGATGTTAATATGACTGAAGATCATTGTGAAATGAAGAATTCAATCGATCGTGATCGAGATCGTTACCCACATTGTATTGTCTGGACACCGATTCCAATTTTAACATGGATTTTTCCTTTCATCGGTCATATGGGCATTGCACGAACCGATGGAATTATTCGAGATTTTGCAGGGCCTTATTATGTTTCGGTTAGTGATGAAATCGAATGAAATTTGAATTTGAGCGGAGCTTTTTCAGGAAGATGAAATGGCGTTTGGTCGTCCCACACGATATTTACAATTGGATTTGAGTCGAATCCCGAGCAGTTCAAATTCGAATAATGTTCAAACGATTTGGGATCGATCAGTTGAACAAGCATCAGATGAATATAAAAAACGCTGGGTTCGATTTGTTCTTGTATCACTGTGTAATCATCGATTAATTCTTTTTAGCATAATTTATTCTGTGATAATTGTCATTCTCATGTCGCTATGGCATTGAATATGATGAATTACGATGCCAAATCATCTTACAATATGATAAAACTGTGTTTTTGGATGTTTTTTCGCGGAAAATTCGTCAGGTAAAGTACTTTTCTTGTGGAAAAAATTCATTTTTTGTCTTTAGTTTCTTCGGTTTTCTACTCACATGGGTTCCATTCTTTATCCTTCTAACGATTCTCCTTGGTATAACCATCTCATCACACTGAAGTTTTCTTTTCTTTTTTTCAAATCGAAATAAAAGATTCAAATCTCTGTAAATATCATATCTTCAAGGCGAAAAAGATGAAAAAGAACGAGAAAAGAAAGTGATTCGTTCGCATATAATCTTTGTAATGAAGATTTGATTTTCTCTATTCTATTCGTGAAGAATAGTAAAAGTAACAATGACTAGTCAACATTCGCCTAGTTCATATCTGTCGACAACGTGTCATTGGATTCATCGAACGAACTGGTAAGTGTGAAAACAAATAGGCAAATGTCTTTTTTCGTCTATCGAATCTAATTTGATGAAGGTCAAAAGGAAATCAATATTCTTTATTTAAATAAGCTGAATTTGTTCAGCAATTCCTAGGGGATGAGTTAATTCTTCGAGAAAAATTCAATCAAATCATTTCCTCATTTATCATTAGAAGAAAAGAAAGAGAAACACGTGGGATAAACACGCCAATGAATCATAATCAGAAGACAATTTCATTCGTAAGTTTAATAAAAATGTCAATAGACAAAGTGACTTGGTGTTAATGTTGACTTGGTGTTAAATAGAACGAGAGTAGAGATAGTCAGTGTGAAATTAGAGATTGACTACACGTGCTTGGGAGAGAAGAAGAGAGAGAGAGAAAGAGAAAAAGAAAAAGAAAGATAAAAGTTCTCGTATTTGTGCAAATATACACATTCATCGCCAAGAGAAGATTAGAACCAACACATACACACCGACCGTTGAAAATAACGGCGGATGTGAAATCAAGATGATTTGTTCATTTTTGTAATTCGCAAATCAAGTTTTTCAATTAATTATTCATATCAAGTAAGAAAAACAGGTGTTTATGGCATGAAACATGTTCTTCTCATATTTATTGATTTCTCTTTTTTCATTTCATCGTCGATTTATCTTTCTTTCGTCTTATCATTAATATCGAAGATTAATCGAACGCAAATTCATTGAGAAATCTTCTTCATTAGACTTTTGTTTGCTCCTTGTCATCAGATATTCACATTTGAAGTCAGTTTTATCGAGAAGAGTTTAATTCTTATCTTTATCTGTTGATGTCGGCATACGAAAAGAGAACGAACACCTTTTTCTCTCCTTCTCGTTTCTAATCCTTCGATCGCAACAACACGAACGGCGCAGATGACTTTCGTCCGTGATAATTTCTTTATCAAATATCTATGTTTCTAGTTTCACGTAATCAATGGATACAAATTTATCAAAAGAAGATTTTGTAATCAATTCCGATCATTTCAATAATGAACTTTCTCCTTCAAATATCATTGGCACACATCCAACTGAAGTTATTACAAGTATTAATCCAGATAATGGTTATCCCGTTCGACAAGAGAATGGACAAAGAAAAAGTGGACCACCGCCAGGTAAAGTTGCGTTGATTTCGATTGCCTGTAGACATTGTTTCGGATTTAGATTGGCCAACGACTCGTCATCCACCTGGTCGAGGTTGTGAAGTATTTGTGGGTAAATTGCCGCGTGATTGTTTCGAATCGGAATTATTTCCGTTGTTTGAACGTTGTGGACAAATTTATGAGATGCGTTTAATGATGGATTTTTCGGGTTTTAACCGTGGTTATGCATTTATAACATATACAAATCGTGATGATGCGAAACGATCAGTCAAAGAGTTGAACAATTACGAGATTCGCACGAGTCGTTTGATTGGTGTTTGTCAATCAGTTGACAACTGTCGATTATTTGTTGGTGGAATTCCGAAAATGAAAAAACGTGAAGAAATTCTCGATGAAATGTGTAAAATTACCGAAGGTGTTGTTGATGTCATTGTTTATCCAAGTGCACATGATAAAACAAAGAATCGCGGCTTTGCTTTCGTTGAATACGAAAGTCATCGATCAGCGGCGATGGCGAGACGAAAATTATTACCGGGAAAGATTCAACTTTGGGGCCATCAGATCGCGGTCGACTGGGCAGAACCAGAAACGGAAGTCGATGAAGATATTATGGCTACGGTGAGGGAAAGTGAGAGATTTAAGATTAGAAATTTGGAAAGTTTGTTTTAGGTTCGAGTACTCTATGTGAGAAATTTAATGATGAGTACGACGGAAGAACAAATTCAAGAAATTTTTGAACGATTCAAACCGAATTCGATCGAACGAGTGAAGAAGCTGAAAGATTATGCATTTGTGCACTTTAAAGAACGAGATGATGCGTTGCACGCAATGAATCTGATGAATAGTAAGGAAAATGTTCGAATCGAATTATCAAAATATTAATTTTATTCGTTTTCTTAGATCGAGAAATCGATGGATCGATTATCGAAGTCACTTTAGCGAAACCAGTGGATAAAAATCAATATTTTCGATTTACACGTGCTGTTAGTCCATCAGCAATCACTACAACACCTTTATCTGTAAACTTTTCTCTTAAAAATCTCTCAATTAACCATCATTTTATTTATAGTTTACTTTACCGAATGGTACACTTACTCCAACAACACCAACATTTGATTTATCTACTATTCCATACTTAACCATTCCAACAAATTCAATAGTTACCAATGGAACCACAATCATTCCACCATCTCCTGCAAACAAGTAAGAAGAAAAATTCTTTTCAAAACAAAATTCATATTCTGTTTAGGAATATTCGTCGAACTGGTGATCCAAGTCCACCATTATTAACTCGTCCAAGTCCGACAAATGTTCTGTCATGCGCATCACATCCATCAACAAATCTTGTTCATCATCGTGGTGCTTATTATACAATTCTTCGGCCGACATCACGTCGAACTGAAGTATGTTGAATTTGCACGTGAAAATTGCATGAAGATTTCCATTTGATTCGAAATTGCTCAGCATGGCTCGAGAAAAATTTATTTGTTTTTATAATTTTTGTTTTGTTGTAATTTTTATCCTAGGAGAAATGTCTCGAAGATCTTTATAAAGAGACATATAATGTTTTATACGGCTCTGCTAGTCCATCGCTAATGATGATCGGTACCAATCAGTCTCAGTTGATTGCACCAGAACAGCAGATTCTTCATCCGAATGCGAATCAGCCCGAAGAGGTAATTTTCTCCGGGTCTTTTGTGTTTGTTTTGTCTTGAATCATGACACGAAAAGATCAAAAACAAATGATGTATTCGACAGCGATATACGAGGAGTAAGGAGACCATCTTCCTTTGTCGCTTCTTCTGAGAAAATTCTCTCAACATGATTGGATAACATCGCTGATCAATTATTGTTTTTTTTGCCAATCTCATTCCGAAAGATTCGATTGAATTTTGCATGTTGATTATTCGTTTCGTTTATTTTCTTATTTGTCACATTGATTTAATCTTTATAGACTCCATTTCCATCCAATCCAACATTTGGTTTTCATCCAGCTGGTCCAATATTTCATCCAGCAACAATTTATCCCCATCCATTACATCCTACTCATCCTCTAGGTAATCCATCATTTGCTCAACAACCAATTTTCCTAACAACATCTGGTCAAGCTCAACAATATTTTCCTGGTCATCCTCCAGCTAATATTTCTTTTCCATTTCTTTTCACTACACCCACAATTGATTCACCCGTGTTGACTTATGCAACTCCAACATCTACAACTAACACGGTTACAACTACGGGTGGTACTACTTATTCAGCTTGATAAACATCATCGGATATTTACATTGCATTAGTCTTTGTTTTGTTGTTTTCGACGAGAATGAGAGTGACAGAGAGAGAGAAAGAAAGATAATATGAATATCTATGTGTGTATTTCATCTATTATTTATGTTTGTTGTTTTCTTTTTTCTTCTCTTTTTCTTTTGTTTGTTTGTTTTTTTTTCTTCCTCTTTCCTACTCTTTCTGCGTCATTATTTCTCTTAAAAACGTTGTTTTCTTTCTTTTCACCCGGTTGAATCTTGACCGTGGCTGATGGTTTGAGCAGTTTTCTTTTATTCTACATGTGTATACAGATGGATATGTGCAAAAAAATATATAAATATCTATGCTTGGCATGAAAGAAGATACACTTTCGTTTACCATTAAAAATTCAATGAGATGACAATGAGAAAGAACTTTCTCTCTTCGGACAATGCTGATTACATTTGACAAATGCGAATTACACGAACAACTGTTCGATTGTTTTGACAAATTTTTATTGAACAAATTGTGAGAATTTCCAAGAGGAATTGATGATGTCGAGAGACAAGAGAGAAAGTATCGATGTCTCGGAAAAGATAAATGAATATAATTATAAAGATGAATGATCAGATGATTTGAGGGAGGAAAACTGACAAGGAGTATATTGGATTTCGATGAGTTATTAATATAATCTAAAAGAAGAATCATATGTAGTCAATTTTCGAATGATTTTCTTTTCTCTAACGAGAAGAATGTGGTCGGGTAAAGGAAAACCACTATCATCGATGTTGTCTAATCACAATCACAATAATAATATCTTTCGTCATCCGGTAGTCGGAGAAGAGCCAAGGTCTTCTTCCTTTCTATTCTTATTTTGCTGTTTTGTACATAGTTCGATATCATTACGCTTCTTTTACATATACATGAGAAAGGAAAAGAAAAGAGAAGGAAGAAGCAGAAGATATTTTCCTCGTATTTTTCGGAATTATTTGCCTTTTTTGTACGAATGCTTGTTTTTTGTCTCTATTCTTAGCGATGAGAGAGAAAGAAAGGAAGAAAGAGAGAAGATTCTCGGGAAAAGACACATACAAACGCAGTAGCAATAACAACTGATGAATTTCTTCGTCAATGCGTTTTACAAAGAATTTTTTTCTCTTCTAGATAAAATGAATGTGACACCAGGTCTTGGTTCTTTTAATAAAGACAAAGTGGCGAACAAATTTGGGATTCAGTTGAAGGGAAAAGACGGACCGAAACAAGCAGATCAGTCCGTCGGAACGACATTGGGCACAAAAAACAAAACTGTCAGTGATTTTCGTTTTCAAAATGACTCAAACGGCTTGAAATCCAATTCCAATTCAACAACATTACAATCACGAAAGACTTCCTTAGAACCAACACCGAAAAGTCAATCAAATATTGCCCTACTTTCAACATCAACATTTAACGAACGACGAAATTCATTCAATTCGGATGTAAATCATTCCACAACTCTCAAACCAGTGAAGCCAACTCCCTCAACAGAATCTCTTTTAAAATCTCCACCAAAGACTCGACGAACAAGTCAAACATCAATATCACCCGAACCATCTCCAATTAGACGAACAAGTGTAACCAATGTTATTGAACAACCAATCTCAATAGTCAAACGACGAAGTATCACGCCTATCTCACCAGAACCATCGCCAGTTCGACGAATAAGTATAACTAAACCTGCGGAACAACCTATTCCAACATCTTCATCTCCAAAACAAAATTCTCTTTCAAAAACCGAAGCAGAAATTGAACATCAAAAAGATCAACCTTTATACAAACGACAATTAACGAAAACGTTAGAAAACTCAACTTCGACATCGAACAAAACCAAACATCCATATGAATTACCCACAACATCATCAAGGTATGAGGAAAACCCTATTTTCAAAGGATTACCTTCAATATTCTTATATTTGAAAGGTAACACTACGAAAACGCATTTCTTTCGAACAGAAATTTGTTTCTCGCACCTCCTCTGTAAAGATATGTCCATTTGTCTGTCACCAACATACATAAAAAGGCATTTTCTCCTCCTGATACGTAATATGATCTATGGGAATATACTGCTGTTTTTCTTTTTCTTTTCTTTCGAAAGAGAAGAAGAAAAAGAAAGATTTTCTCTCGCTCGATCAAAAATGTAATAGAAGTTTGTTCAATTTACCGTCATGATTTTTTATAGGAAAACCTTGACCTTGGCGTATGAATTAAGCATAGTAATACGACCTTTATTGACGAGCAATCGAGCGCACACTTCGTACCTGTAATGACTCACCTGAGAGAGAAAATCAATGTTATAAACGAAATAAGAAACTAACGAAGGACATAGCCAGACATACTACACGAGACAACGAAACAAAATTGTTTATTTTCAGTTCATCGTTTTCAATTAAATCATTCGATTTTAATTCAACTTTTTCTTCTTGTTCTGTTCTGTTTTTGCAGAATATTCAAATCATTCAATTCTTCTGTTATCATTTTTTCTTCTTCTTCTCCTCTCTCTCTCTTTCTTTGCGTTCTTTTCATACGTTATGTACAACGGTTGATTTCTCCTTCGAATAACCGACGAATACTTTACTAAAAATGTGCACATGAGGTTAAGATTGACACACATAAATGCACGTGTGTAATATGTTACGTACTTCTTCTTTTTCTTCATCGTCTTTATTATTATTGTCGTCGCAGTTGATGATACCGATCAACATGGTGAGGTGTTCGTTGGTGTAATAATTTTTTGCTGTTCTGTAGTTGAACATAAAAAGAAAAAGAGAGAAAGAAAGAAGAAAAATGTCATCATCAACGTTCATCCAACGATGGACATCTGTGAACGATTTGACGACGACGACGAATAGTAATAATAAACAGTCAACTACGTTTTTCCTTCGACCTCGGTTAGTTCCACCGCCGCCACCATCGTTATCGTCATCATCTCCATTTTTTCTACGGCCTTCACAATCATTAATCTCACTAGTCGAACCATCAACAATTCCTTCGAAAATTCGATGTCAATTATCTAAACCTCATTTCTCTTCATCCCGTGTTGCCAATATCATCCATCAATTTGAATCTCAAACACTTTCATCAATGAATCACTCAACAAAGGTTTCCGCACCGATCCGAAGCGTTTTTGTCAAACAATGGGAAGGAACGCGCAAAACTCTTCCGACATCTCGAACTTCACCTCTTGCCATTGTTGATACATCTTTCTCCTCCTCTTCTTCTTCCTCTTCTTCTTCTCCGATTCCATTTCATTCGAAAAAGTCTACTCATCCAGCTGAACCGATTATTATCTGTGAAAGAATAACAAATCATAATAGGGTTCCAGCACCATCTGTCAGTCCAAAAACCTGGTCTCAACTTAAATATGTCTCGCAACAACACCTGGAATCCATTGAATGTGATTCCGATTCTGCTATTCATACATTAGTTACTGTCATTGAACATAGTAATCATGATTGTGTCACTCTATCACGTTCGAGTACAAGTGGAACATCCGATTCCACATGTTCATCAACATGTTCATCTTCATCTTCACCTCCACGTTTTGCTCGTCCAACAATCGCCTCGAGTCAGAAACAACGTCAAGCTATTTACAATTCTTCTTCGTTCAAACGAACCAGCTCACCTCCATCGTCAATTCCCACATTTACTCGTGCAATTTCCTCACCCGTATCGACAACTCCCTCCTTATTTTCCATTCATGAGGATCTCGAACAACAACAACAATCATCACCACAAACATCAACTATAGCAACGTGTTTTTGTTCGTCAGAAAGCGATTCAATTGTTGACGATGATTATTGTGAGCTCTCCGCAACAGATACAATTCGATCAGATAAAACGATTTTACTGCAAAATTCGCTCCTTATTAATACAAATCTTCCATTAAGATATAAAAGAGATTCATTTATACGTCTCTACGGGTAACAAATTGATATTTACTAACTAATAATTGATTCTCCTAATCGTATAGAAAGAAACCGAATTGAGATCATAAAACAAATATTTTCATAATCAACTGTGAATTAATTTTCTTATTCAATCATGTTAAATAAGACATTGTTTTTTTTCTCGATGTGCATCGAACATATTTTTTTCGAATTCACTTTTCCATTCAGGCCCGATCTAATGCAACAGCATGGGCATCATATAGCCAACGAAATCGTGTTAGAAGATGGTAAATATACGACAAATCTTGTCGAGAAAACAAGCTCTAATCTTCATTTCAGATATTGATCCTCCGTTTTCACCACGTGCTGTTACGGTTAAGAAGAATAGACTAGTTGCAGATGAATATGAACTCATGGAAATCCTCGGAAGGTAAATGACGATAATGTTGCGTGTTTAAAGATTGAAATCTGGAACGATTTTAGAGGGAAGTTCGGGGAAGTGAAAAAATGTCGTGAAAAATCGACTCAACATTTATTAGCAGCGAAGTTTATTCAGATTAATAAAGAACAAGATCGAATCGAAGCATTAAATGAAATCGATATCATGAAATCACTTCAACATCCTCGTCTATTACAACTCTACGATGCGTTTGAAACTAAAGGCAACTTTTGTCTCATAATGGAATTGTAAAACTGTCAATCAAATTGTTCATTCACTTCAATTCTCTTTCTTTTCTTTAGAATCAACGGCGGAGAATTATTCGAACGTGTTATCGACGACGATTTTATCTTAACTGAACGTCTTTGTGAATTATATATGATGCAAATCTGTGAAGGTGTTAGTTTTATGCATTCGTGTAATATTATTCATCTTGATATGAAGGTTTGAAGAGATTTTCGTCCTGAACAAAAGTTACTATCGACTTTTGTTTAGCCTGAGAATATTTTATGTGTTAATCGAGATGGACATCGAATTAAAATCATTGATTTCGGTTTGGCACGAAGATTTGATCCAACAAAACAACTAAAAGTTCTATTTGGTACACCGGAATTCGTCGCACCGGAAGTGATTAATTTCGATCGAGTTGGCTTTGGGACAGATATGTGGTCAGTCGGAGTTATTTGTTATGTTTTGTAAGTTCATTCGTGCAAATTTCGCGTTTTGTTCAATGTTCTTGTTTTCTATTTCTTCAAGATTATCTGGTTTAAGTCCATTTATGGGTGAAAATGATAATGATACTTATGCAAATATTAATCGAGCAAATTATGATTTTGATGATGAATCATTTACTGATATATCGGATGAAGCAAAAGATTTTATTTCTAAACTACTCGTCAAAGACAAAGAGTAAATAAATCTGAAAGAAGAAAATTGATTTATTCGTTTTTAACTCTGTTTAGTAAACGTCTTCCAGCACGGCAATGTCTTTCTCATTCATGGTTGACTCGTCGACCTAAATTAGTCTCTCAACCAACTGATGATGAAACAGCTGAAAAGAAATTATCGACGAAAAAATTACGTCGATTCGTTATCCGACGACGTTGGCAGGTTAGAAATATGATTTGATTCTTTTCGTTTTAAAAAGCTTGAAATTTGATTTTCGTAGAAAGCGGTTAATGCTCTATTAGCATTACAACGGATGGGAATGACGTTGTGAAGAAATATACGACACGACTCGATTCGCTTTTTTTCGTTTGCAAATTTCTATTACTCGCACATATATTTCCTTTTTCTTTTCTTGAGTCGCGCGTCTTTCACACAGTGCTTCTTGTATTACATATGATAATATTCATCATCAGTATATGATATTGTTTGTTCGATTCGTTTTTTTTTTATTATTTTTTTATGTTTTTTTTTCTCGCTGTTGTTACCTGTGGTTCGTTCGCCCAGAGAATAGAGCGTGTGGATGTAACATTTGTCTTTTCTCTTCTTTTCTCTATGTGTGTACATTATACTTTTGTCTTTTTTTTCTTTTCTTTCATTATTATTATTATTATTACTATTATTACTATTATTTCTGGTTTCAGACGGGGAGAAAAGATGAAAACACAGTTGAGATTTGATTTTTCTCTTGACTTAACAATGAAAATCTTCGTACAGATGGTTAATTACAAATTGATGATATAATAATTATCTGATGTAATATCAACTCTCGACTAATCGATCATTGTCAACGAAGAACGATTATTTCGATAGTCCTGATTGTATTTTCTGATGAATCAGAGACAAACTCATTACTTATTCACTTCGACTTGAAAGGAGAATTGACATAGGAGAAGAATTTTCACGTCTTTAAAGATATTATCGACGTTATGTAAGTTCTCTAATGATGATTGATGAGGAACTAACTTTGTTCTTTGATCGTATCAATGCCAATGATAGAATAAGCATTTTTGCTTAATCGTTATAGTTTATAAAAGATTTTTTCGAATGACTTTCATTCGATTAAGACTTTGTCTAGGAGGAGGATTTGTTTCTGAAGAACATTATGTGATCTACGACAGAAATTCTCATATGTGTATTTCTTTGTACTGATTTATTAGATATCTATGAGAAGCTAAATTGGAAGCTTATTAAAATAAAAAGAAAAGAAAAACTTTGATCACAAAGAGAATCAGTCATATTAGAAGAATATTAAATTTTCTCGTCGACAGGTGCTACGCTTGCATCTCCTTCATTCGGATTTTTCCGCAAACATTTTCGAAGACATCTCAAACACGGTTCATTGCCACCCATTAAAATATGAGGTAAACCAGCTCGAACAGGTTTTCCTGATTGTATTCTTCCCGCTGCTATTCCATACTGTCCCGCAACGGGCATCCACCATAACCATCCGTCGTCACGCAAATTCGCCCATAAATAAAAAATCGCACCGATTGAATAAATGATATCTCCATTATAATAAAGTGTATTTGTTCCGTATCCATCGGGATTCATCAGAATTTGAATGTTATACGCAATATAAATAAATGAACTTAATGTTGTTAATGTATATGCAACTGTATCAGGATCTTCAAAGGTAAAACCACGTCCCAATGCCCGCGTGTATGTTCGATACCATGACATTATCCTAGAAAAGTATGGCTAAAAGATTCTGACTGTTTCTCTTGAAATTTACCAGCCGAACGAAGCGAATAGTTCCACAAATGCTGCGACTGTTTCCAGTTTATGTAAAGCTAATGTATAAGGACCATATAGACCATCTTCGTTTTGATACCAAACTGCAGACCAGAGATATAAACTTGCTTCAACCAAATTCAAATATTCCGGTATCATAATAACATCATTCCAACAATGATCTAATTTCAATCAAAAAGTGTTCTTTCAAAAACAGCGTTCAAAGTTCAAATTACCTTTCCATGCCCACCAATATAAAGCTGCGGATATCATATGGACAATAGCCAATCCTAAATCACGATGAAAATGGATTTTCCGATGGAGTTGAACATGAGTTTCCTACCAAGGTACATTTTATTGACTATTGATACACCCTCTTCTGTTATTTCAGTCGATGTTTCATTCGACACGTTAACAAATACTTCGGGTTCAGCTGATCCATTGATCCACGGATCATAATCAATGATCATAATTCCGATTGCATAGAGCTGAATAGATTTTATGTGAGACAATCAATAAAAGAAGAACATCAACTTACAAGATAGACAAAGTTTGCAAGAAAATATCGATTATGAATGGTTTTTTTGAAACATATTGGCACACGTTTTTTTATTTGTGTCCAGGTTAAAGCTGCCCAAAGTGAGTCAAATGCTTCCAATTCATTAAATGGCGCTGTTGGATCATTTTCTTCGTCATCAGCCATTGAAAGTCACACAATCCAATAATTATCAGAAAATAAACATTTTTTCGCAAATAACTGTAATAGATGTTGAAAAGAACAGACACCAGCTTCAGTCGGAAATTTGATCCCAAAGACTTTTAATTAATCGCTTTGATCACGAGAGAGAAAAGGTCTGACGGTGATTTGATCTTTTTTCTAACAGAAAACTTTCAGTATTTAAAGCGAGTACAGTTTATTGCAGATCATAAAAAGGAGAAATGAAAACAGAAGTTACTCTCGTATTGAGTAGCTGTATTCTCATATTTTTACAAGATAATCCATAAATTCTTCAAGATCATCGATTTTCTTCATGTTATCAATGTACTTTTTCGAATATGTCAGGGAGCGATTTGTAGTTTTAGTTACAGTCGTCTTGACACATGTTTCGACAGAGGATTTACGTTCGACACCGAAGAATATTTTCAATTATTTTTTATTTGTAATGAAGCAGAATTTGATTTTTTTCACGGAAAAGGAATCGTTCTAAAACGAAATGTTTGCTTATGCGATGTAATCCGAGAAGTAAACAATCTTTTGTTGAGTAAATTCATGCCTCTTCAATAAGTTTGTTCGATTAAAAGGAATAACAACATATGAAAAAGATTCGTTCATACAAAATGGAACCAAAAAATCCGTACCGATAGAATGCATCCTTACCCCCCGCTTTTTATTATACACAACTTATCAATTACTTTATGGCGCTATATCACTTCAAGAGCAATATCATAAAAATAGTATTTATATAAGAGATCGACAGGTTAACTCTACATTGAAAATTCAAATTCATTTTTCAACAGTTTTTCACTCAATTTCCTTCCATCTTCATAGTTTTCCACCCAGATCTCCTTCAAATCTTCCACACATTGAACCACAACTGCTGTTCCCGCATGTGAATACAACAAACGCAACAGAAACACTCCATCTCGTTGTAACCAGTTCACAAAGTCTCTCTTTCGTTTGTCACTGTCTAAAAGGTCTCTTCCATGTTCTTNTGAAAATTCAAATTCATTTTTCAACAGTTTTTCACTCAATTTCCTTCCATCTTCATAGTTTTCCACCCAGATCTCCTTCAAATCTTCCACACATTGAACCACAACTGCTGTTCCCGCATGTGAATACAACAAACGCAACAGAAACACTCCATCTCGTTGTAACCAGTTCACAAAGTCTCTCTTTCGTTTGTCACTGTCTAAAAGGTCTCTTCCATGTTCTTCATGATCATTTGTTGTAATCTGATTTGTTGGATTCGATGGCGGATATTTTGCGTGAATCGAATGAATCACTTTTTCAATGAAACGATAACGAGTAAAGAATGGAACATAGAGACAAAATGAATAAGCGAATGAGATCAGCGATATCACGAATAGAACTGCAAACCAAAGCCACATTGCAAAATAAATCTTCTCGTAGAAGATGTTGATCAACAGAATACACTAAAAGCAATCAACAAACGACAATTTCAATCGCACACCCACCCTCACTCTTTACTCTACCTCAATTGTATAGTAATGATCTTGACCTAGTTCACGAATGTGAAAGTCACACAGTGTCACAAATGGAAACAGTTGTTGATGTTTGTACGATAGGTTGACAATGCGTTCGCGTATTGTCGATTGAAATAAATATTTCATCGTATCGAATCCAAATCGAACAAAGCCATATTTACCAGTCGATAGAAGAAGATTCAGAAAGTAGACTTGGATGATAATGTTGAGAAGATAGAGAACTTTGATGAACAGATAAAGTGAAACAACATATGAGCTTCGATATCGAATACGAAATGACACATTGGGTAGAAGTGATTCGGACTGAGATGGAGAATCTTGATGAACGCTGCTGCGAAGTAGCAGCTTCTTCTTACATTGTGCCAGTCGTCGACACATTAGATATCGTTCGATTTCTTTGGCGATTCGTTGGCCTATATTGGATTTCTCATCGAATTTTTTTCCTTGTTCAACGACGAGACCTGGATTGAGACCATTCTTCTGATAGAAACTGATCCAGATGAGATGTGGAAGAAGAAAGAAGAATGCTTGGATGAGATAGACGAATGGTAACCATTGATAATATTTGAGAGTGTGTTGTTGTCGTTCGTTTTTGTCCATCGGTAATCTTGTGTAAGTTTGAGGGTAGAAGTATGTGTTGTTCANTTTCTCATCGAATTTTTTTCCTTGTTCAACGACGAGACCTGGATTGAGACCATTCTTCTGATAGAAACTGATCCAGATGAGATGTGGAAGAAGAAAGAAGAATGCTTGGATGAGATAGACGAATGGTAACCATTGATAATATTTGAGAGTGTGTTGTTGTCGTTCGTTTTTGTCCATCGGTAATCTTGTGTAAGTTTGAGGGTAGAAGTATGTGTTGTTCAGCCAACAGATCGTTCGAGCAAATGATGTGTAGCCATCGGTAAACTGAGCTGGTTGGATACATTGGATGGGATCCGCATAGAACTGAAGAGTTGTGGAGGCGACGGCAGCGATAATCAGGAATGTGAAAGTAACTTGATAATGAATTTCATCAGAACGAAAATCATTATTTGTGTCGATGCGTACTAAACCTCGACTTAACTTAAGGATTGTATCAGCCATTATCTTAAAACAACGAAAGAAATTTCATGTTAAAGTAAAATATCAATGGCGTGTTGTTCTTTCTCTTTCTTTTACTATATGTTGCCCTTCATCACATCAACAATGATGTGATAGGAACGATGGTAAGCGTACTACCTTGGGGCTACTCGAAGCAAATGCATATAAGCACGGTGTAAATGGGTTTACAATTAGTTAACATTTGAATAAACATTTGATTCGAGCTTTCAGTTTTCTTCTGATAGAGGATATGATCGACACCTAGCATTTTTTTTCTTTGCTCATCACTATGCTGCTCAGAACAGATGAGAAAAAGAAAAAAATGATGGTCATGGATATTCATACAATGCATACGATTTTTTTCTCCTTTTTTTTTCTTTTTCCTGTTCTGTCGAGGTGATGTTATGATCGATTGATGCTTGTTGGAACAGAACAGACCATGCTTTCCGGTTGCCTTTCTTTCTCTTCTCTTTTCTCTGTCGACACCTTTCCTCGAGGTACGCGTATACACAAATAAATCCCCATCGACTGAAACTACAAAAGAACATATTTGCAGTATTTATATCTGTGTAATGTGTGAAAATGACACAAAGAAATATGTCTATGTCTATAGATATCGACCATTGTATGTTAGCCTTTCCGAAATTGGAAACGACTGTTACGATCTTGATTTTTTTAAACTACGGAGAAACGTTCGTGTTTAACATTTCAATTATGATGAACATTGGCGGCACACCATGTAGGCGAAGGGAGACAATAAAATGTTATTGCCTCACCTGACTACTACATCGTTTGATAATTCTTATTGTCTTCTCTTATATACACATTTTTTGATAGCTTTTATTAAAAAGAAAAACATGTAGCCATTGTGGGACTTCCCTTCTTTTCTACAAATTGTGTTGATAGTTACCACACCAGTACTATAATGAACAGCAATTAATCTCTTTAATTATTGACGTTTTACTATGGGAACAAACATATGGTTAGAAAAGCAAAAAGCGATTTGCACTGCTAGCTAACTCGAGATTTTATTTTATTTTTTCGAAAGGACAATTTTTCAATTAGAACTAGTAACGCTCGTCGAGGCAGACTCGCTATGCCCTCGACTGAACTACTTATGACTAAAAATAAAATAGTCTTATGTGCGTTTTATGTAAAAAAAGACAGAAGTATAACCTTTGAAAGGGTCCCCAGAGACTGATCTTCATTCGTCTCACAGTCCTCAAAAGAGTCAAATGACTACTTGTGCTGCTTTTAATTATTCTATATTTCTGACTGATAATTACTCTTCACAGGAAGCAGAAGTTCGCTATAAATGACTATTATGGATTTGCACCTTTAAACATGTTCTCCTTTTTCTAAAAGAAAGATAATTTCGGTAAGACCAAATGAGACTCTGTATATATTTCGCATTCGAACGTGTCGGATTGTTGATACTTTGGTAACTGACTAGATTACCAGGCGCAGCTCATTGTTCGTCAGCGCTCCATAGGAGCGCCACTCACAACTCGCCGCTCCAAAGCTGTCCCTATCTATCATATAATTACCCGTGTGCTACTAAAAAGTATCGAAAATTAATTAGCATTCCATTAGCATCCCATAGATAAAATTATCCGCGTCCGAACATTTAAGGCTATCTCCTTAATTAAAAGGCTTAAAACCCTACAAAAACTTTCAATATATCGAGGTTCAGCATTTAAGATTGCTCTCCAGTATGTAACTTGTGAATAAATGTATTTTTGGATTACTGACCTTTAGTATGCGACAGTCAACCGAGTGTGTTTTTACTTTTTCGTAATCAACTCTTCCATGTAGCCCTCCTCTCAGACGCGGTTGAAATGTTTTCTTCATTTCTGTCACGTCCCTGCGCCTTCACCCGTCATCCAGCCAACTTCGAGCCTCAGAATCCCTTTCAAACGATGTTTTATGAAGTTTTGAGCATTTTCAAAAAAATGTTCTTTTGACCTTTGACCTTTGATCCTGACACAGACAGGCAGACAGACACACAGACAGACAGGCAGACAAACAAACTTTTTTTTATATGACCCTCCTTTCAGTCGAGGGAATTTTGTATCGGTTTTCATAGCGCATCTTTGAAAAAATATTTTACTTCTTATCATTTACTTACGGCAAAATACATAGAAAAGAAAAATATATTGCAAACATTTTGATATATCCAAAAGATGATCTGCCAAATTTCCAGAAATACTACATGACAATGATGTTACTGATTCTCATCCATAATACAAGTTATATATGGGCACCTTTCTAGCCATATAGTACTAACTATGTACAATAATCCACGAAAGTTTCAAAGAGTTTGCTTTTACTGTGTGCCAGAGCAGTAAATTTTAAAATTTCCTCAGAATTTCTGGGACACCCTTTATGTGACATCCCTAAACCCTTGGAAAGTTTATGTAGTGTCGAAGAAAAGAGAAGACTTTTGTATTATACTGTTATTTTTTATAGTGTACTTAAATAATAAAATACTCTTAATTAAAAAAGAAAGTAATAGAAAATTGAACGGAAAGATGAGTAAGAGAACTTGAAGTAATTTAGCAACTAGCGGTTAAGCGTATGAGATAATATAGTTTTTGTAGTATGATATTGTATGCGAGGAGCTGTTATTGTTTGACGTATAATACCCACCCCACATTTGTCACAGTTTTCGTGCCTTTGAAAAGTTCGGCAGCTGGCATTCGGTCGGCTAGATCAAAAGCATGGTGGTAATTCTCGTTGGTTGTGAGACCAAAGCCACCACACGTGGCATCAACATTGCAATAGGCAACAGCCTCAGGTAGCGGGAGGATACAAACACCAGCTTGTTGAACACTATGTTTGATATGAGTACAATCAAAACGATCAGCGCCAATTGTGTTTTTTGTCACTTTGTAATCAATCATTACTGATTGAGGAACAGTGCGTTTTCTGAAAGGAGAAGATTTAGATAGCTCCCAGGAGTANCTGATGATGATGTAGAGCATGAATTACCAGGTAGTTTTTAACTGAAATTCGTTCATATCTCTCCAATTTCACAACTGTATTTCTCAAGGTACTACCTGGTTTCGCGAAAGATTGTTATCATTATTAAAAGAAATGTTCGTCTTGGATATTCGACATGTGGCTGCAACACTTCTTCATCCACGCTATAGATCATTGAAGAGATTTTCCGACCACATAAAAGGTCAATGTTACCGGTATGTTCGCCGACAGATTAAACATTTACAAGACAGAATAAATTTGGAAGATTTCCACAGCAAATCATCAGAACCTGAAACAAAGAGATTCAAAAAAAATTCAAATCTATTCAGTAGATTCGAGTCTGATGATGATGTTGAAGATGGTCAAAAACAGTATCACAGCAGTTCAGGAAGCGATGAATACGACTTTGATATTAAAAAGATTGACGAATTGGATAGATACTTACTGATCGACATCGACAAGAATGCACATACTGGCGATCCTTTAGTCTTTTGGAAAAGTTACAGAAATCAAATCCCGTTTCTTTCTCAATATGCTCGCTCTATTTTGTCGATTCCTGCTACAACTACTAATGATGAGAGAGAATTTTCCACAGCTGGATGGCTTATTAACCAAAGAAGAACAAGTTTAAAACCAACTGAGATTGACAAAATTCTTTTCATCAGATCGATGGAAAAACAATTGAACACATCTTCTGTCAATATTTCATTAATTCAATCTTCATTTTTTGTATGCAACAATGTACTTTTGTTCATTACTTCAGGAAATAAATCTAGAACTATAACTAAAGGATAAAATTCAACCGTATTGCATGACTTCTATATTTGTAGGATGGATACAGTCCTCTTTTTCTCGAATTCTCTCTTGTAAGTGTTGAAGTACTCGTTTGCCCTGCAGGGTAGGGCAGGGCGCCGGGCAGGGCAAAAAAATCTGCCCTGTGGACACCTCTGGTGTAAAGGACGTTTTCAAAAGGACATTCTAGCCTGTTACCCTCCATTCTTGGTTTCTCCGTTTTCGAATAGACGGATTGAGTTTCGTCTCTCGAGCGAAAACAATGCTAAATACTGAAGAAGTTCAAAATCTAATTCTTCTACGAAACTGGGGACAGATTCATTATCAACGTGAAAAAGTACATTTAGAAACACGCTTAAATGTTTCCTTTGTGAAAATCAATTTTTCGAAGTTTGATGAGCGAATCGACTTTCTTTTGAGCACACAAAAAAGAATCAACTATATGTTATAAGATGTATTTCATTCCTCTTTACTTTTTACTGTATTGAATTAAAAGCGATAGTTCGAAAATCCGATCAACAGACAGGTTTGTGAAGATAGGTCAAAATTTTATTTTTATAGATGAAAAAGCTACAAAAGCTAGTCGCTATTTAGCAGTTGTTTAGTTTCCCCACCTTTTCCACCACGTGGAGTTTTATTTACCAAATATTTTATCGGATGTACGAGTAGATATACTGTTAGAAGCAAAAACGATCATCCATCTGCGTCATTTTCTATGGCAGGGCGCTAACTGTAAAGATATGCGTATATATCCATATTTCTTTGTCTACACGCATTCGAAGGACAATCGGCAAAGGTAGATAATACTAACACCACATTCGAAATAACTGACACAAGCGAAAACGAAGTAACGCGATAGGCATAGCAAATGCGTTCTTTGCGACAAACACTAAATAACAATATCGTTTCATATTGCTCTAAAGGAACAAGTTGATCACTCGAAGTCGACCATTGTTCGACACCACTAGGATGACTGTGCACATGGAACTTATGTTATTTTCCAACTAAACTCTTCCAGAGTGAGTTGGTATCAACAGCGCTCGCATGTTTCGCAACCGCTAAATTCCAATGATGATGTTAACTCTGCTTTGGAAAGAGCACCAACTTCAGAGACGATAACTGCTCACACTATTATATTCAACTGCGTATGAAAGTGGTCCCACACTGCCAGTGCTCTGCTCATATGAAAGAGATATAGTACTCCAGACGTGGGGGCAAACAGTAGTTAATCAAACAAGTATGGCCCAGTATTAGAAATAGTTATCATTAAGCGCACACTGCATTTTGTATCCAGTAAAGCTGTTCGATCGCAAACTACTTCTCAGATTGCTGTTAAGTCTTTCTAATGGGCATCGTATAACCCAATCAATTGACAATTATTTTTGCGAATACGATCGCCATTAAACATCCTGAGTACATCCATCCATTCAAGATCAATCACGTACGTGAAAAGCTGTTTATTTACAGGTATGTGAAATCTTTTCCCCGTTGTTTCGCGTACAATTTCGGGAAGCCGATGTTGGGGTAATGCTATGATTTAGCATGACTTGAACCGGAACAACTTCTTCTTCTTCTTTCCTTCTCTCCGTTCCCGTACTATCGCTTTGCTGAAATATATTGGAAAGATGAGTTAATGGAGAAATGCCTCGACCGTGTATGAACACATTTAACATGCAAGTAGATTACGAATGAAAATATAAGCTTTTCCAACAGCGGCACAAGTCCTATTACGGTGCGTCAGACACAACCACTGCAGAATCATTCATCGCCGATTCGCGTTTTTGGGCGAAGCCATCGTATTCAACGTTGCATCTGCCACTCTGCTTATGATGTTGGAAACTATGTACAGGACGTTGTGAATTGCAAATCATAACATTTGGAAATCCCATAAACAAGCACATCCTATGAGTGTCACGATTGTCCTCTTCAATGTGACCGCCATGCAAGCGACGGAGACAAGAAACAAAGGCATGCATGAATACATAGAGCATATTTTCAGTTTTATGAATGTGTCAGATTTTAAGAAATAAAGAAAAATAGCAGTGTGGGTGTGGGCGTGGACGTGGAGGCAAGAAAGAGTTGACGAATACAAAACTAGATGCGTCAGTTTGAAGGTAAGTTTAAATGCTTAAAACTCAAAGAAATTGTAAAGACATCTCGCCATTGCTGAGAATAAGATAACTTTGATAACTTCAATGTGAGTAATGGGTTTGAGAATAAGTTTTGGTTGGATATTATATACTAGTAACGCTCGTCGAGGCAGACTCGCTATACCCTCGACTGAACCACTGACTAAAAATAAAAGTCTTATGTGCGTTTTATGCAAAAAAAAGACAGAAGTATAACCTTTGAAAGGGTCCCCAGAGACTGCTCTTCATTCGTCTCACAGTCCTCAAAAGAGTCAAATGACTACTTGTGCTGCTTTTAATTATTCTATATTTCTGACTGATAATTACTCTTCACAGGAAGCAGAAGTTCGCTACAAATGATTATTTTGGACTTGCACGTTACATACGTCCTCCTTTTTCTAAAAGAAAGATAATTTCAGTAAGACTTAATGAGACTCTGTCTAGATTTCGCATTCGAACGTGTCGGATTGTTTATACTTTTGTAACTGGCTAGATTAGCAGGCGCAGCTCATTATTCGTCGGCGCTCCACAGGAGCGCCACTCACAACTCGCCGCTCCAAAGCTGTCCCTATCTATCCTATAATTACCCGTGTGCTACTAAAAAGTATCGAAAATTAATTAGCATTCCATCCGCGTCCGAACATTTGAGGTCATCTCCTTAATTAAAAGGCTTAAAGGCCTACAAAAACTCTCAATATATCGAAGCTCACCATTTAAGATTGCTCTCCAGTATGTACCTTGTGAATGAATGTATTTTTCGATTACTGACCTTTGGTATGCGACAGTCAAGCGAGTGTGTTTTTACTTTTTCGTAATCAACTTTTCTATATAGCCCTCCTCTCAGGCGCGGTAGAAATGTTTTCTTCATTTCTGTCAGGTCCCTGCCCCTTCACCCCTCCTCCAGCCAACCTCGAGCCTCAGAATCCCTCCCAAACGATGTTTTATGAAGTTTTGAGCATTTTCAAAAAAATGTTTTTTTGACGTTTGACCTTTGACCCTGACACAGACAGACAGACAGACAAACAAACAAAATTTTTTTTTATATGACCCTCCTTTCAGTCGAGGGAACATATACACTGATTTTATTTGAATTTAACGCGCTATTGAAAGAATTGGCATTCAAGAATTATAGATATCATACCTTCAAGAAAAGGAGTCTATAGAGATAATTTTGCTATGTGATTGCCAGTTATCAGAAGTGAACGTGGAGGAAGAAAAAGAAGAGTAATCCGTTTTTTTCAAAATAGGAACGTTTTGACAGAAAAGGTTTTCAAGATTATTGTAGTTCTTCGAAAACTGGTTTTAAAATTTTCAGAACTTTGATATGAGCACAAGTAACGCTCATCCTTTGGATTCGCTGAGCCTTTTCTGAAAGACTTTTCCGAATGCTGAACACATTCAAAGACTTCGAAAGAGAAAAAACGCACTGCGATTGCTACTAGTGCTCAACTGAATCATGGCGCTACGTTACACACTAGAATGAATAGGATGCAAAAGTCTTTTTAGGAATCAGACCGATTAGCCATTTGTCAGTGGATAATTCTCCAGCACTAACTATGTTGACTGTAAAATTCATTGCTCAACGGCTAGTCAGACGGCCACTCACGGCCAACCATTGACCTTTCTCATCTGTTTTTCTTTTTTCACATCACGCGCATGGAAATTTTTATAAATGATTTACTAAGTCACTAATAGACGGACGATATACAGTAGACTACTTGAAATGTTTGAACATTCGCCTGTGTCTTCCAGCGATAAACCGATTCTTTTCTCTCCTGTGAACGAAATGGTACTTTGTCGAATATTTTCATTGAAGAATATCCATTCGTCAAATCCATTTCAAAACTATCTGAAGCCTGGCAAGGTTATTCTAAGCGTACACTTTGGGATTAATCTAGCATTTAAACGCTGCATAACCCTTTCTTTCAGAAAAGGAGAAAAGAGAATATTGACATGTTTATTTTCTTTTGTGAAGTAAAAAATTATCTTTCATTCTGTCAAAGTATACGAAGCTATCAAAAAAATAACTGAAAAATGGTCTTCACGATATGAAACAATTCTAAAAAGAACTTCCCAAATTTTTCACACCCGCCTAATATCTTTCCTGCTGATCCACTCACATATCTTCGATTACTGTAGAACTAATTCAGCGGGCGAAGCTCATTCACAAATCCAAAACGTCTCGAAACAGAGTTCCGTCCAAAGCAACATGCAAACCTTATAGTTTCTGTTTCACTCTTTCCAAGTTTCTTTTGAACATTTGAAGGTGATGATGCGTCGATGGTAACACTTTTTGAGCGATTTGAACCGCATTTGTGTAAAACAATACAGCAGTCCTTTGATCACCAATGTGAAAATACGCATTGCCGATGTTGTTGTAGGATCCAGCCACATCTGGATGATTGGGAGGAAGTGACTGTTCTCGTATTTTAAGAGTTTGTTCATGTGATGAAAGTGCCTTGGGATAATCACCCATGGCAGAATACGCATTACCGATGTTGTTGTAGGATACAGCCACATCTGGATGATTGGGAGGAAGTGATTGTAGTTGAATTTTGAGAGCTTGTTTATGTGATGAAAGTGCCTTGGGATAATCACCCATGTCAGAATACGCATTGCCGATGTTGTTGTAGCATGAAGCCACATGAGGATGATTGGGAGGAAGTAATTGTTGTCGTATTTTGAGAGCTTGTTGATGTGATGAAAGTGCCTTGGGATAATCACCCATGGCAGAATACGCTGCACCGATGTTGTTGTAGGATCCAGCCACATGAGGATGATTGGGAGGAAGTGATTGTTCTCGTATTTTGAGAGCTTGTTCATATGATGAAAGTGCCTTGGGATAATCACCCATGTTGCGATAGGCGTTACCGATGTTGTTGTAGGATGAAGCCACATCTGGATGGCTGGGAGCAGTGGCGTAACCAGGGGGTGGCAAATGGGCGATTGCCCATTTAAATTTGAGGTTTGCCCATTGTAATTTCGTATTGAGGAACCTTGCCCATTGAAATTTTACTTTGTCAGAATTTTCCTATATGTTTTGATTAGTTAAGACAACAATTTATTTTACGAAGTTCTGTGTAGTATTTCAAAATATTTCAAGCATTTTTATGAATTTTTTTCAGAAATTTTCAAAGATTTACAAAAAATTTCTAAGAACTGCTTTTAGTCTATCCACATTTTTCGAAAATTTAAAAAAGATTTTAGAATTCTTCGGAAATCTATTAGAAATTCGGAGATGCCTTACAAACTTTTTGATAGATTTTACGATTATCTCTAAACCTTCTGAAGCTACTCCTAAGTTTGTGAGTAAAAATAAACAAAATTTGCGAGATTAACGTGAAGATTCGCGACTCCAACCGATTTTCTTCGCACCGTCGGGGCACTCCTGTCTTGCATTCTCTTATACTGCACTACAGTGAAGGAAACAAGACAGCGTATTGGACTTTCTTCTGTTTTTTATACTAAAAAATGAAAGATCCTTATTTTTCACTTTTGTTTGTGGTCGTGTTTTGAAACTTGAATCAGTGTAAAAGTTTTGCCCTATCGACAAAAAGCTTGCCCGTTTTGCCCACTACTTTTTTTCAACCTAAGCAAAGTTTGCCCATTGGCCTAAAAATCCTGGTTACGCCACTGGCTGGGAGGAAGTGATTGTTCTCGTATTTTGAGAGCTTTTTGATGTGATGAAAGTGCCTTGGTATAATCACCCATGTCAGAATACGCATTACCGATGTTGTTGTAGGATGAAGCCATATCTGGATGATTGGGAGGAAGTGACTGTTCTCGTATTTTGAGAGCTTGTTCATATGATGAAAGTGCCTTGGGATAATCACCCATGTTGTAATACGCATTACCGGTGTTGTTGTAGAATCCAGCCACATCTGGATGATTCGGAGAAGATGACGTCAAGCGAAGTTTGAGAGATTTTCGAAAAAGTGTTATTGCCTCCTCATATTGCCCTCTCTGGTATTTAATGTTACCCAGGTGATTATAGACATCGACTGCGGAATTTTCATAAGGCGTTTCATCAATTAGAACTCGACAGATTCGTTCAGCAATGTCTGACTGTGCTATGGCAGCGAGTACTAGACTCAGTCGTGGCCATCCCTCTGCATTTGGAAAGCTTTCTTTTCGAATTCGTTCAGTAAGTACCATCAATTCTTCGTCATTGTCACTCGTCAATGACAACGCCACTTCGTACACTTTCTCGTTCCCATCCATGGGCTTAACATCTCTTATGCGAAAGATACTGTGCATCGAAAATAGTACCTCTTCTTCTTCGGGAAACTGACTGATGTGACGAACCGAGGCAAATGACGTTGTTGATTGCTTTGGATCAATTGTGATCACAAATAGAACACTGATCACATCACTGTTCTTTCGATTTCCTGGAGTAAAAATAAGAGAAACGTTGCGTTTCTCACTGGTAGACAGGAAATTATTGAATGACATCAGCCCACCCTTCGTTGCCACCAATTGATCAAAATCTTTCTTCATTAAACCTTGACCACGGTAAACTGGAAAGCATTTAGCAGTAGCTGATACATCACCAAACTGCCGCTTGTGTAATTCTTCGATATGTCGATGAAGGTCACTGATGAAAAAGCCCATCAATGTGATCACTTCACCGTCCATCACTCGTAATGCACGATTCAGCACACCGTATAAAAATCTTTGTGTTGTATACCACCAAATAGGCGTGTACTGATGATATTCGTCTTCCAGTTGTTTCACTTTCTTTCGCTCGACTTCAGTATCAACGAAATTATCACAACAATACTTGACGAACTGTTTGATATGTTTATCCTTAAATTGAATTGTTAACAGTATTTCTTTGATGATCTTTGTATACATAAATGATGGCTCTAGCCGATCTAATCGTTTGCCAGATGGTACAAAACTCATAGGAATAGCTCTGAGTTCATATCGACGAATGATTTTCGTTAATTGTTCACAAATATGTATAATATCAATGGAAACACTCTTCACTTTGCACCAGTTTTTGGCCCATTGTTCGTGTCGATTTTGGTCATCACAGAAAATGAAGATCGAATCGATGTTTGAAATATCATGTACACAAGGTACAAGACGTTGTCCAACTGATCCTGACGTGATCAAACAAACATCTGTGTCGGCGAGAGTGAGAATAAAATCGATACATTCATCATTATCAGTGAATGTATAAATATCATTGACAATGTGCTGAAGATGTGTGATTGCATTTTGATAGTCTGGATTACTGTTGTGAATGTGAGTGTCAAGCCAAATGACAGAAACATCTTGCGTCTCTTCAATTTTTATACGATTCAATTCATTTGCTTGTTGAAAGGTGGCTGGTGTCTGCTCGAACATATCTGAACTGCCTTGTTTCTGATTTGCCATTGCTGTGAGATTAGATTGTTTATAAGGTAGTTGTTGTAAGATGCGAGAAATGGTTGTTTGATACAGAACGATAAAAGTAATGTGCTCCTTCACGTTTTATGGAACTTGGAAAAAACATTCCTTCTTCCTATATAAACATTCTTACTCTCAAAATGAATCTCTGACGACAGCATACGACGAAAAAGAAAAATAACGACATTTTGATTTTCAAAACTCGTGAATAGAGCCCAAAGCCGCCAGAACACTGTGGTTTGATTATACAGCTTCATGCATATAGTCAAACAAAAATCGAACATCGTACAAAATCGTTGATTTATTCCTTAAACAACTTTTCAATTTCACATCGAACAGAGAAGTTCTCAGCTGAATCAGCAGCTTCTCCAGTTTCAGTCGAATATAAATGCAGATTTTAAACGCAAATCGAAGTATAAAATTATTTCTCAAGGAAACATAATTCTATACATGTACGAGATTAGAACTGCATTCAGCTCTAATACATTTTCAAGGTTCAATTCTCATCTTTCTAACTTATTCTTAAAGTTAACAAAAACATTCCAGTACTCATGTGCATTAGAAGTTATATTAGGCAGCTCATGCTCTGATCACGAATCACACGCACCAAGCTTTTGAAACTTCCGTAATTCAATAGCAAACAACACGTAAACGTAGTACTAATTATAAACAAGTAACGCTCATCCTTTGGATTCGCTGAGCCTTTTCTGAAAGACTTTTCCGAATGCTGAACACATTCAGAGACTTCGAAAGAGAAAACACGCACTGCGATTTCTACTAGTGCTCAACTGAATCCTGGCACTATGTCACAGACTAGAATGAATAGGATGCAAAAGTCTTTTTAGGAATCAGACAGATTAGCCGTTTGTCGGTGGATAATTCTCCAGCACTAACTATATTGACTGAAGAATTCATCGCTCAACGGCTAGTCAGACGGTCAACCATTGACCTTTCTCATCTGTTTTTTTATTTTCATATTAGGCGCGTGGAAAATTTCATAAGTGCTTTACTAAGTCACTCATAGGCGGACGATATACAGTAGATTTCTTGAACATTCGCCTGTATCTTCCAGCGATGAACCGATTCTGTTCTCTCCTGTCAACAAAACGATGCCTTGTCGAATATTTTCATTGAGGAATATCCACTCGTCAAATTCATTTCAAAACTATCTGAAGCCTGGCAAGGTTATTCTAAGCGTACACTTTAGGATTAATCTAGCATTTAAATGCCTAGTCGTTCGTCGACTTCCCTCCGCTCGATCACTCACGGCTATAGCCGTTGCCATGCTGTCTCTGATATTCCTTTCGCCTTTGATCAACTTCCAAACTGAACGATTGGGTTTTCTTTTATTGTCGCTTCTGCAGTCATGATCTTCTATTCATTGGACTACCAAAAGAAACTAGATAAGAAAGTCTTATTGTATGATTTGCTTCGAAACGAACATCTTTCATAGCGCTGCATGTGTTCAGAATACTGTTTCTACAGTCCACGCGTCTGTAGTTACTAAGATGGAATTCCGCCGACGGGTATATCACTTTGCGAACTACTTCTACTAAATTCCCATGAAAGGACATGATGCATGTAGCCTACAAAGCAAAGATGATACTAACGTAACCTCATATCACTTTTTCGGATTTCTTCAATTAGAAACATCATTATGTACAATGCATTAGATCTTTTCGCGTAAGTTCTTAAGCTACTATCTTGGTACACATGACGTCCGTGAATAACGTTCAGCTCACCATCTTCTACAAAAGATTTCAGAATAGATAAAGAAAAATATCTCCTTTGTAAAGAGGAAGGAACGAGTCCAGGCTCAGTAAATAAGACGAAATTCACCCTCAAATTCGAATTTCCTGAGGTCAAAAATACTTCGGTCTACTCTGACAATGGATGTTAATAAGTCGTGGCTAGTTAATGAAAAATTAATAATTAATTAAGGAACACTAACCTCGGATTCGTGATCCTCGATCCCGATTACGTAAGGGCAATCATTTGCGTATGATCATCATGAAGTTTTCTGAGTTGTTGAATGCTGCAATCTGATTGGCTTGGACAGACAGACAAATTTTAAGCATTTTGAGCCCAGTATTTAACCGCTGTATAACCCTTTCTTCCAGAAAAGGGAATTATCATATCCTTTCAGTATCGCATTACTGTTTATGTTGAATCATTTGGATGGTGTTAACAATAGATTTCCAAATATTATCTAGACTCATGTCGAAGGCACACGGACAATTCGTCGCACGGACAATTCGTCGCGGACAATTCGTCGCAGACTATTCGTCGCACAGACAATTCGTCGCACGGACAGTTCGTCGCACATGTAATTAATCATGTATTGACTTGTTTTTTTTAAATTGACTTATGTAAACTTGTTTCTCAATTAATGAAATAAACATTGATTCTTGACCAACTGTGTTAGCCTTTGGAAGTCGAATCCAATTTTCTAATAGGATCCTAGAAGATTGAGAAAGATNAAGATATTAGCAGTAGCTTGATAACCTAATCTTTCTATTAGTAATGACCAATAACAATACTATGATTATACCTCTCGCCTACGTTTAAAACTCGTTCATGTTCCCATCGAACTGAACAAGGTTAATGAGACTATACAAAACAATTAATTTCACAATTCACCGGATTTCTTTTATCAAAAAGTACTACTTGATTGACTTCGCGTTTACTAGATGAAATGTACTACAAAAAACTCATATATATACCATTCAGTCGTGTTCACTGCGTATTCTACATCTGTTTCCTGTCAATGGATTGCAAACCTCTATATAATGAACACCTCTCATAATGAACGCTTTTCGTACGGTCCCGTAGGTGTTCATCTTACGGAGGTTTCACTGTAATTATTATTTTAAAAACTCGTTCTCGGACAAAGGGAGAAAATTTGGTTTGAAAGAATTTCAATTACAACAATTTATTTATTTGAATGAGCATTGCTCCGTTTATCAAACTCAATTGATTATTGACACTTATTTTGTATTCATCACTTTCAAAACAATGCAATAAACATTGAAATAAAACATCTTCAGACGTCCGTTTTTTTTAATTTGAATATTCGAATTTCTTTTCTAATTTGATATAATATCTTCGATTTGTTCTATGCTGATAAAACATTTGCAAAAAATACATTATGATAATGTAAACACGACGTTGTTCAACAAATATTTGATTTATTCTTAACAATTACTGATGTTGAAAGACTTGTTATGCGAGATAATGATGAGAAATTATATTTATTCTCATTCTCAGTAGTGATATTGGCAATTTATTGTTTGTAAAGATTTATCGATTGCACAAAAAATAAGCAAATTCATTTCGATCGAACAAATTCATTGATATTTTTATAAATGATTTATTGTTAAAGAGAAATTCTTTGTGGCAAATCAATGGAAATCCGTTATTGTCTCTTTTTCTATTCATTTTTTAATATTTACAAAAATCTGCAATCGTGCTATTCTATCTTTTATAAACACCATCAAAAGAGTTTAACTCAGAATAAACAATTAGTAAGACACATTAAGCTCTTCGTATTTCTCTTGTCTCTGAAGGTTATTGAAAAACTTGTACAAATGAGAACAGATTATAAAACATGAAAAACACATGAATCGAAGTGATCTTTATTGAGGGTCGAACATATTCATATGACATTTGACCAAATCATTGATTTTGAAATGGACTTTTTTATGTTGTGTACTTTTCACAATTCATTCTTTATTTGTCACAAAATACGTCAATGTTTCACTAATTTTTGTTTATTATAAAAGAATTTTTGGAAGAACTCAAATATTATGTCAATAGTTTTCTTTTATTTATCAAAATTAAAATAGCTTTGAGAAAATATTTGGCTCTCTCGAAATGGTTTCTCATTAAAACTCATACCTTAGCTGCTTTGTGTTTGTATAAACAAAAGCGATTTCCCTATAGAAACTCTTCTTGTAAGAAAAATCACTTTGAATTCGTTCATAAATGTCGGTGAAACACTCAAAAGTTCATTTGTTGATTCTTTTGTTCGTTCTCGACGAAGTGGCAGGTAAGATTACTTTGGAAGATCTGATTTAAGTTGATTAAATGTTGAATTGAGGTTATTTCTACAATCGACCAAGTCTGTCATCTGATTCTCAATGGAATCCAAATGGAACAACAATCGTGAATGAAACGATGATTGGAACAAATCTCTTCGATTTGTTTATCGATGAAAACAATACCGTTTACATTTCAAATGAACAAAAGCAACAAATTTTGATTTTTGTTCAAGGAAATGTGAGTTGGATGAGAAATATTTCAATGAATCTGAAGAACTCGTCAAGTTTATTTGTGACGAACGAAGAGAAGATCTATGTTGATACATTTTATTCATCAAATGTGAGTGTTGTAAGTGAAATCGAAGTGAACTCATCGTGGAGAGTGAATTCCATTTCACGAATGAACTTTTGTGAACAATGTTTTGATATTTTTGTGAGTGAAGATCAAACTTTGTTTTGTTCATTATCTCAACAACATCAAGTTATTTCCAAATTATTACTCAATCGGTGGGACTACCTGTCAACTGTGGCAGGAACAGGAAGTGAAGGATCAACATCAACAACACTTCGAAATCCTCGTGGAATATTTCTCGATGAGAATAATTCAACTCTCTTTGTTGCTGATTGTG